AATAAAGGAGAAGGAATTAAATATTGATATGCGTATCAGCATTATTAGAAGATTGATGAATACTGGTTTGCACGGTACAAATGGCCTTAACCCACAAACACCATACACAATATAACAGAGCTACGTCATTCAACGTCTGTTTTTTGGAATGGAAATTATTCCAGTAAGAAGAGGTTCCATATTTGGAAGTCGATACGTATACTAGTAATAGAAGAAGTGGTTGTTGTTGGTTTGGTGTCTGCAAAATGCGTTCGTTTATTTATTTTCAGGCCTTTGGTTTTCTCACTTGAATCGTTTCACGTTTTGTCATCCCAGGGTCTTTATAACAAGACAAAGAGTTGGTAATTAATTAAATTTGACGATAGTAAGATTATTATTGGAGTTATTGTCCTATAATGATGATTTTCCCCATTTTTTAGCATGTTTTCCTATTATTTGAAAAGTATGATAGATAGATAGAAACTTTGAATAGCGAAAAAATTATCAGTAAGACAAGATCTACAAATAAGCCAAATAGCTGAAATCTTCTGTCGACTCGTTATTGGAGTTATTGCCCTTTAATGATGATCTGTACCATTTTTTTCTCGTTTTTGCCTATTATCTTGAAAATTATTAGATACAAATGTACATAAAAACTTTTAAAAAAGTTAAATAAAATCACCAGAAACAAGATCAACAAATAAGTCAACAATTATCCTGACTGAAATTGACAGGTAACGCTTTATAGAGTTATTGCCCATTCATGATGATGTTTTAAAAAAGTGGCCATTGTTGAAGATGCAGGTGAGCGACACAGGCTCTTTGGGGCCTCTGGTTTAGCATAAAATCGTCCAATTTTGTTGCCTTGGTCCGCTCGGCAATATATATTAAGTTTTCGGCAATTACGCCCCTTTTCAATAATCCTGGATCCGCCCCTAACACCAATGGTATAAAAACCATATCAAAGCATTAAATATTTGCATTTTCCATCAAAAGCAAATTTGCACAAGCACGTGTAAATGTTATGCGACCAGGGCTTTAGTTAAAATGCTTTTGATAAACGTTCCTTTTTACGCAACCCTTGATGTTGATTTGTTTAGTTTAAATCCTCTTATAAACTGGTTAATGAAGGGGATCCATTCCCCAAGCGCCTAGATAGTAACATCGTATGAATAAGAACAAGAACACATTAAATAAGCGAAAATAAGTTAAAATATTAAAGAATTAAAAAAAAAACCCAAACAAATGAGAAAGAAGTAAGTTAGTGGGTGGGGGCAATGACACATCCGCGCATGTGCTCTTTGATGTTATACAGCACAATCTCTTACACATTACAATACAGTTGAAGAATGGTTTACTTTGTTTCAAAAAGGTAATTTCAACATCAAGTCTACTTCTAACTTTTTATATCAGGGGGTAATAAAGGCCGTCCGGGATGAAGGTAAATAATCGTACTTCTGAAATGAGTTTCATCGGTCTTATTTCTTATAGTCATACTATCCACAGAAATGAATACTTTTTTGTGTTTGCTTTTTTTCAACAAACACTACCTTCACAACAGATGAATCTAAAATATCTATATTATCTTACTTTCGTTAAAGACCAAAGCATAATACTGATGTTGTTATGCTGAATATGGGTGACCTTTCCATGCACTGCATTATTAATCCGTGACCAAAAAGAAGAGATCTTGAAAAAAAAGTAGTAATAGTAGCTGACATTGCCAGCAATTCCAGTATTCAACATTAATGTATATATCTCCAAAATAAAATAAAATAGTGATACAATTTTATTTTGAAACATTCATTTCACTATTTTATAAAACAAACCAGTTTATTATTAATATATGGGTCATTTTCAAAAAATGTCGAATTTCGAAATTGCAATATTTATCAAAAGTTACTTATTCAAACAACTCTCTACATAAGCAAATCAAAACAAACAGTACTTATAGAACAACATATTAAAAGATGCAATCTTAATAATATCATACAAGAATATCCTGAAACATTTTTTAATCGATAGTGCAATATTTTGTCTCTCCTGTTACCATGTTCAAAAGAAATTTCAGATGATTGAGAAAAGGTTTAAATAAAATTTTAAGCTTGTTTTTCGTAGCCAATTAGATGGTTTTCAAGATTATAAACTTCTATATATATATATTCATTCTGTGAAATAATAGATTATTTGCCAATTTTCCATTTTGTACTGAAAAATGCCTCTAAAAATAGGTTTTCAAAGGTTAAACAAATAACCACCAATAATGCAAGTCTTAGATAGAAATTCATAATGTTCAGCATTTTTTCTCTCTTTCAAATAAACCTAACATCAAGTAAATCCCTCGCATATTGATTAACTTATGTCTTTATTCTATTGGTAACAGGAACGTACGTAAATGATATATCACTATATTAAGTTCTATCCTGTTACCTTTTTGTCTATCCTGTTACCGATAACAGTATCGCACCTGTAAATGCTTAATTGCGAAGATTAAGACGTTATAACCTTAAGATGAGTTCAAACAACGAAACATTTCACTATGTGTGCAAATATATGATATGATAAACTTTTTACAGACGTTTCTGTCTACAATTGTCTATCCTGTTACTGTAACCCATAGCAACCATAGTAACAGGATAGACATAACAGGATAGACAAATTTCTTCATTTTTGAATGCTGTTGTGAAATAACTACTCCCTTTGATGAAGTGATAATGTTTTTCTGTTGTGATTTTGGTTTCCAACACGTTATTAGATATAGGAAGATGTGGTATGAGTGCCAATGAGACAACTCTCCATCCAAGTTACAATTTATAAAAGTAAACCATTATAGGTCAAGGTACGGCCTTCAACACAGAGCCTTGGCTCACACCGAACAGCAAGCTATAAAGGGCCCCAAAAAATTACTAGTGTAAAACCATTCAAACGGAAAAACCAACGGTCTAATCTATATAAAAAGGAGAAACGAGAAACACGTATGAATGCAAATACACAGTTAATAAAAAATTACAAGGGATAAATAATTAAAGTCAAAAGTAAATAAACAGATTTAAACAAAGTTAAAGTATGATATCACTGTGAAATTTCAAACAATTTATAGAAAATCATCACTTTTGAAGAAACCTGCGTCATATTATACACAGGTAAATGAAAATAATTTTGTTGTTAAGTATACTTCTTCTTCTGTGTGTATAAAATCTTCCGTTTAGGAATACCAAGAAATTTCTTTAATATCAATAAAACTAATCTAACAGTTGGTATATATGGGGTGAATATCAACAATAAAAATATACAATTAGTGCTAGATAAAACTTCCTGTACAAGTCCAAGAACAGCATCTAAGGAAAAATGAAATAATTTTGATGTTCATAGTACGAAGAGGTGAAAATTTGTAGTAATTAAATACCAAATAATCAAAGCTGGTATATAGACAAGATCCATGTTAACATTAAATAACAAAAAAGCATTACAAATAGTATCAACAGGTCAAATTAAAAAGAAAGTACGATTTGAGAGTACTCGCAGTTACTGACAGCTAGTTAAAAGCCAAAACAATTAATAATAAAAAATCATGCATCAGAGACTAAAATCAACTAAAATACATCCCAGGGATTTCACGTCATGAACAGTCAAAGAAGACATTATTGCACTTTTTACAGGTATACTATTGGTGTAATTAAGCAATATGTTGGTAACAGCATAGACATGACAAAAAAGTACCCTCTATTCTTTTTCACTAAATGTCTTGAAATTTCTTTTCTCTACACTGTCATACAAGAAACGTGCTGTGTTAAATGTTAAGGTTACTTTGCATTTCTGAAATCAACACTGACTAATTCAATATTCATAAAAATAAATCAAATAATTTTATTGGTGTAAACTCCAATACAGGAATGATACCAGCTGACATTTACAAAATACAAATACAAAAACAGACAAAAATAGACAAAAAACAAATATACAGAGATATGTTTTCTCAATGATAAGAGACACATATTTTATATCTACATTGCGTGGAGGTGTTATTCATACTATATTATCACTTCAAGCTATTACAATAAGCTTTAATATTACAACAGTTCTTAACAACATTATGTTTGCTTTAAATGAATGTTCGAATCATACAAATCGCTTATTCCAGCTACAAATACAGTGCAAATGTCAGTATCATTACTTTTCAAAATGAAACTAAATTTATCTTTTTCCGACATATTAACAAAAGATGGAACTATATCACTTAAATTACAAAAGAGTATATTTCTATTAAATTCTAACGCTTTACATTTAATGAGGCAATGGAATTCATCTTCATTTCCATCCTTGCAAAGTGGACAAATTCTCTGTTCTAAAGGTGTTCTAGTATAAGGAGAACAATTTAACGGCTGATTTAAGTAGCGGTAACAGGATGGACATGAACTTCATGTACGCTGATTGAATTTAGTTTGTAGATAAAATGTTACATATAATGATAAAGAAGCTAAGATTTTTCATTAGAATTACTATTAACGTTCTTAAAAGTCCCTTTGGCAGATATCAAGGCGATCAGAAAATCGGAAAAAAAATCATTTGAAATGTGTTACTCTGACACTGTACGCACACAAATTACGCAAAAAACGGACTTAAACACATTTTAATCTTATCAAAATAGATGAAAATCGTGTTTATTATTAATTTTCTGAATCATAAATCCTACAAGCTTTCATTTATACACTTACAACTGGATTTTCCATTAGAAATAAAAAAAATTAGCATGGGTGTACTGAAAATTCGACTTTTTTTGAAAATGACCCATATAGTTGCATGGTGCAGAGAACAACACGTCATATTCGTTTCATGAGTTTTAAATAATATATATATCTGAACTGACTAACTACTTTTTGTGCATCTTGTGTGTTGAAAATAAAAAAACTTATACGTGAAACGTTCGATAAAAGTATCGAACATTATAAAAGTGAAGTTGTGTGATAGTAACAAATTTAATCCACCGAAGACAGTCAACGTATTATCTCCCTTGGTTTTGTTAAGAGTTAACCGCCCATTTGTTGTTTACAAACGAAAACAGCTGATCAAAACATTCCCCCAAAAATGCCATTGAAAAAGATTCCAAATGTTATATCTCCACATTTGCTACAAGTACTAGCACTGATGGGACACGGAGACGAAATAGGTATCGTTAAAACTCTAGTTGCTAGTAATTTATATATATATTATTTATCATGACTATGACGTACATGTATGATCTGATATGATTCAACTGTTCAATATAGGTGGCAGTGTTCAGATGACAGCTCTTTAGCTATTTGTGCATTTCTTTCAATTACACATTGATTGTATCCTCCCCCATTCAGCGCGACTGCCCTTTCTGATTTGACTTTTCTCAGCTCAGTTTTCACCAAGTCTTTTATAAATATATATTCAATTTTAACTTATTTATAGCTATACTGAATACTTCGTTATAATATTAAAATATTTGTTATAATTTAATTTGTAGAATTTTATCTTGTTATTTTCAGTATTAGCAGATGCTCATTTTCCATCATCCTCGATATGTCGAAGTGGACCAATTGAAGTTAGAGCTGATGGTTCGTTTTTTTTCTTTCTTTCTTTAGAATACATGGCATGCATAAAATAATTTATCATGTTCTTAAAAAATAAAGAAATTCTGTAATCAGTTTGTAAATTGTTATATACCCCATCCCACGACCACGACACAAACACAAATGAAGTAAGGGGTCTATTCAGAGTTCGCGAAAAGGGGTGGTGTGAAATTTTTTAAAGGACCGACACAATTTTGGTATTTTGCAATAATAGTAATAGTGAAGATCAGGAGATTTTCTTCAAGGTTCATCAGGGAAAAAACATTTCATGAACTTGTCTATTGGTATAATAGAACCAGACTTCTGGTATCTCATTTTCATATATTATATTTTCATTCTGAAACTACGTACCGCATGTTTTATTGTATATTTTAAAAGTGACACAGTTGGGGCAATTAAACATGTTTTTTTTTATAAGTTGGGTTCACCAAGTGGAGGGTTCTTCCAACAGAACACTGAATCCACTTGTGAACATATTGTTTTCTTTTTGTAGGGATGGACATTCCTACATTATTGGATGCAGTACTACAGTTACTTCCCTTAGACCAATATGAAAACTTTCCAGTAAGTATGGACAGTATGAATTCGGTTTTCGGCTTGACTGTATCATAATGGTTTCTATTAGGTATATATCACACCTTACCAAGTTTATTGAATACGGGTTCTCGTAATTTCTTTCATTACAACTGAAACAAGCAGCATCGTTTTTAGAAAAAAAGTTCGATTACACGTCTCCCCAATGGTGACTATGAATAGAAATATGTTCACTTTGGTCTTCTGACCGGCAGTAAAACTCTTGGCAAAGTGGGGCGTCCGTTCGGTTGTGTTGTATGTATAAATACGCAGCTACGTCCGGTCAGAATGGGAACATTCAATCCGATGCCTCGTGTAGAGAGAATGCCACGCTCCCTGCACGTTATCAACCCTTCCCTCACAACTCGTTGAGGGGTCCGTAGGTGGCATATTACAGTACAAAATTTCTGTCCCTATCCAATATAACCTCATTTTCCCCGACCTTCGTCCCGGACGGCCTTTATTACAAGACCAACCAATTTTTTTTATTGCTTTTTTGTTCTCGTCCTAAACATGCATGAAATATTTGCCACTGGACGTTAAGCAAGCATCAATCAATCGGTTACAACTGTGAGTGCAAACAGAACTGTGTTGTCAGTTTTTTTCTGAGAGTATGTCTGGTTTGACAGTTGGTTTGACAATTAATATTTTCCAAGATTTTTAAAGAGCAAAAGATAATTAAGCAGAATAATAAAACGTGTATTGTGTTTGTACATTGTAGGTTTCTTTAATGGATTTAGTACAAAGTGATAAAGATCGTAATCTTCAGACACCAGTCTGGTCAAAGTACAGAGAAATTATTAATAAGCACGAGAGTTCAAAGGTAAACATTATTATTGGTATACTAGTAAACCTGTATGAAAAGAATAGTTTCGGCTTATCTAAACAAGATAATATTGAGAATAGAAATGGGGAATGTGTCAAAGAGACAACAACCCGACCATAGAGCAGACAACAGCCGAAGGCCACCAATGGGTCTTCAATGCAGCGAGAAACTCCCGCACACGGAGGCGTCCTTCAGCTGGCCCTTAAACAAATATGTATACTAGTTCAGTGATAATGGACGTCATACTAAACTTCAAATTATACACAAGAAACTAAAATTAAAAATGATACAAGACTAACAAAGGCCAGACGCTCCTGACTTGGGACAGGCGCAAAAATGCGTCGGGGTTAAACATGTTTTTTGAGATCTCAACCCTCCCCCTATACCTCTAGCCAATGTAGAAAAAACAAACGTACAACAGTACGCACAGTAAAACTCATTTTAAGAGAAGTCTGAGTCTGATGTCAGAATAGGAAACAAAAGAAAATAAACAAAATGACAATAATACACAAATAACAACAGACTACTAGCAGTTACTGACATGCCAGCTCCAGACCTCAATTAAACTGATTGAAAGATTATGTCTTCATCATATGAATATCAGGCACAATCCCTCCTATTAGGGGTTTAGTATTATACCATCATAAAATATATGAGAAGAACATAACCCGTGTCATGCCAACAACTGGTTTTAGAATAAATATGTTTTTAATTCCGATGCAAAGACCCTATAAGTGAATCAATATTAAAGCCAAAATATGCAATCTTTAATGACCTGACAACAGTATCGTAACTATATCCCTTCTTAATAAGTCTGTTTAAAGGTTTTGTTAGCTTTTGAGGTGAATACTGACATTTTTATGCTTTGTAAAGAATATTACCATAAAAGATTGGATGTGAAATACCCGAACGTATAAGATGTCTGCATGTTGAGTTATATTTACGAAGGATGTCCTTATACCGATGATAAAATTTAGTAAATGTTTTGACTAGTTTATGATATCGAAAACCCTGGTGTAATAATTTTTCAGTAATACATAAATTTCTCTCGCTAAAATCTAATACGTTGTTACATACACGAGCATCGTACAAGTTGAGATATATAAACACAATAAGATGGTGACAAGGGAACGTCACCATCTAAAAATGGATAATTAACGATAGGAAATGAAAAATCACTTTTATCATAAATTTTTGTAGGACAAGCATTTACACATAATAAACTTCAAAGGTTTACTACAAAGCACAAAGCATTATTTATCTGATTAAATGCATTCTAAAAAATAAGTTATCTTTAAATAGTGCCAACGGAATCTACTTCAAGGATGTTGGTTTTTATTGAGGTTGGTATGATTGGGGTTGTAAAGTGCAGAATTTCATTCACAAGTTAAAATACTGGTTTTTGAGAAGCATGAAAAAGCCGTCATATATGTAAAGCAATATCAGCAGGGTAATTTTTCAAGTGCAGAAAGAATTTAGTATATTGAGCTGATTTCTTATTAAATCTCTTAAATTATGGCACAAAAGGGGGCCAAAACAGTTCCCTGTCCTTTTAGAAATTCGCATTCATCCCACTAACGTTTTATGCTAAATCATTCTCAATACTTCACATATGCATATACATAATGTTAAATTATAAGACAAAACATGTTACAACTTGCAACTAATATACACAATGTATCTGATAAAATTTTATATGGTCAAATATTTTCATACAACTATGCATAAAAGGGCCATAATGAACGAAGAAGTTAAAAATAAATTATACATACCAATTTTGAAAATCATGTTTTAAGCTTGTAATGTCATGTTACAGATACAGATAGAAAAGGTTGAAAGGTTTGCATTTTATGAAAAAGCAAAGAAGGCATTTGCAGTTGTTCATACAGGGTAGGTTTCTTGTTCAACAACTGTTTTGTATATACTCTTATTTACAAATAATATACATGTACATAGAATCTGTTCATAATTGTTTTGAAACTGGATGGAAAAAGAGTAATAATTGCTGCTTCTCAGCTAAGCATGCAAGATTTAGGAATAAGAGCAACGACTGGTTTGCTCGGAGTCAGAAGAATGTGTCTGGTAGGGTGACAGACTGCTAATAAAGTTGCTTAAATCCGCTTCATTTGGACTTTGTTGGATAGTTGTCTCATTGGCAATCATACCACATCTCCTTATTTTATATAGTTATTCAGTCGTCTTCAAAAAGATAAATAACGAAACAGATTCTGAATATTATTTTCTAATTTTCTTGCTCATTACATTGAAAAACGTCACAATTTCATCCCTTAATCGTTTTAATTTTAAGCTTTTCTGTGAATATAAATAACACTGTAAATCAGTATAAGGCCACATTAATATAATTTATCTTTATTTACCTGTACCAATTTTTTCTTGTCTTTCACTAAGAGGTATTCAGATGAAAGGAATTTATACATATTTATGGTATGAATAATATATACAGAATGTATTTATGTATTTCTATAGGGAGACGGCGCAGTATGGAAATATAATCTTGAAAAAGGGAGTTGCTCTTTAAATAGTTTCCTGTCAACAGAAGATGTCCAGTGAAAACCATTTTCTTATAAAGATGCTGCTGACTAAATTCAGAAAGTGTATTCTAGAATATAATTAAATTGGGTGCAATATACTTAAAACAGTTTAAAAAAAATATATATATATATTTATACTTATTTTTTGGGGATGAATTTTAAAATGAAATAATGTAGTAAAGGTGGTATGTTTATTGCTGAATAAACAATAACGTACAATAAACTATGATTACTGACTTTATTAATTTTCTTATGTTGCCCTACCAGAAGATGCGTTAAAAGATATAAAGTTTTAGTTGTACATTCAGTCACTGTCGAACAACGTAGTATTTGAGAAAGAAAAAAGAAAATTCAAGTCATTTAACTTTAGGAGTAATAATTTGATTCTTTATGTTGACAATGCACATTTTCGTAGTATTTTGCCGGCGCCGGCAAATTACCCAATGCCAAAATTAAAAGAATAAGGTATTATCAACAATGGAACATTGCCTTGTCCGAAACTGGACATGAATTATATTGGATTCAGGAAAACTAGAAGTGTTAAAGGGGATAAAATGTCACAGTTACACTGGACTGTCAATTGATACACATGTAACGGAACCCTCGGCAAGGGCTTCAATATAGGATGATGATGGATTAATGTTTAACGTTCAGTGGCAAATCTCATGGACGAGAATAATGTTAATGTCGTATGAATATGAACCGTGCTTTGTACTAGACTGTCACCCTGTGTCGGATTATTAACTTACTAGTTCACAAAGTAATAGTCTGCAGGAAGAAATGTCATCCTACCCAAACACACTATTCTTACTCCGTGAAAACCGGTCTTTGCTCTTTTTCCTTAATCCTGCATGCTTAGCAGAAAAGCAACACATATATCCGCAAAGGGATCGAACCCAGTCTCCAGCTTTCGAGGCGTGATCGCTACCACGAGACCGCCGAGGTGGTTTCTTTATAGTCTTATTGACAGAAAGAACATCCAGCAATTTTTAAATTTCCTAAGAAAAAAAATATTTTTGATTAAATTGGAAGCACTATGCAGGTAGATTAATTCGATAAATGAGGCTTTAAGTCAGTCGTATGTGTTTTCCTCCAAGACAGATAAAGTGTTAAAAACAATGTACTAAGCTTTGGGGACAAGAATTGATAAAAAAATCCTACAAGGTTAGATAGAATTACAATTCAATTACCAAAATGCCCTAAAAAGTCAGAGACGCGTTCCAACACTGAAAGTCCATGTTTGGCCAATTATAAGATTACTCCAAAGAATTGGTGTCAAAACGCAAATATGGTGTCTGTTCGTTGAAAAGCATTGTTATTAAAAATACAATTTTCGCAATGTATTATTGTTTAAGGGGACGACCATTTGATAATCTTTGGGTTGGGTGGTATTTTTATGGGGGGGGGGGGGGGGGGGGGGGGGGTGATAGAAGGAAATTGCAAAGAACGATTATTTATTTTTAGACAATGCTGTATGACTATTTATTTTCATTCTGCACAACAGTCTAACATTTTGAGGGTCAATATAATTTATTTTGCCGGTTGCAGAATTAAGAAAAAAAAGTGTCAAAAAGGACAAAAGACATCTTTCGTTACCCCGAATAATTGTTCAAACTAAGCCATGGTCCTAACTAGGGTATTATATCAACCGAGGCAAGGTTTGGTGTTGCTCATCCGAATGAAGTTCCCACAATCGGAAAATATGTAACATATTTTGCAAATAATGAACAAAAAACGACTATTATGTACCAATACATAATATATTAACCTTTGCAGCGTTATTCTGGGCGACCCCTTGGATGTATAAATACACGTACACGTACGTTGGCTTTGCGACTACACATGCAGCCACCCACTTTTAGGTACATTTACCGAAAGATAGTTATTATAACTGAAATTACGTTTTGTGAAATTGACCACAGGTGCTATGTATTTTTTTTTCAACCTACCATTTCCATTCTTAAGTGCAAGAACCAAGTCAGGAACAAGACAGTCAATCGCCTTTTAAATCGTTTGAAAATATTTTTTTCTGGACTTGCCTGCATACAAAAATATATTTTGTTACGATATATTATGTGTATTGATTACACTTTTGTATTTCCCTATTTATACATATATGCATAGATCAAAGAACACCAAACAACCATTTTGTTCACAAAGTTTTCAAAAGTTTATTTTGAAGTATATATTGTAGCCGTTACATATTATGGATAGTTTATAAATAATTGTAACTGATACTGCTTACGGTATAACAGAAACAAACGGCAATTGTGATACGCTTTCTTTGCTATTATCAATAAACATATATTAATAAAGAGCCTTATTTACGATCATCACATTACTTATGTCTTCAGTGATATGCAAACCATTGTATCACATTGTTTTGCGGTTTGAGGTCTTTGGAATAATTCATTCTTTTATCTATATTTTATATCGTTTGTTTTATACAGTTTCCACTGAGAAGGCCATATCGATAAAATAGGAATATATACGCGTATCTTCTGTGACCCCCTCCCTTGTCCCCTCTACTCAGATACCATTAGATTGTAAAATACAACAAAATAAAATGCTTCGCTGAGCGCATCCTGATACGACCGCAGAGGTCGAACCCTGAACAGTTTGGGCAAATTTGGACACAATATTCAAGCTTGATACTGTCTGAATTTGGATTTGATCAAATTTTTGACATAATATAGGTTTCTGACACAAAATAAATGTGGTCAAAGATCTTACAAATCTATTGCGCAATACTGTGCAATTGAAGATTTCTACTTGAAACTTTTCAAAAATTCGAAATTTGAAAAAAAATAGAAAAAAAAATCCCCCCAACTTTTTGAAACCCCCCTTGGAGCAATAACCCCAAAAACTCAATCACAGCCTTTCCTTTGTAGTATGGAACATTGTAGTACAATTTCAGAGAGATCCATACACTTAAACACAAGTTATTGTCTGGAAACTAGAATGTTTTTGGCCTCTAATTCCTACATACATGTTTGGGACAATTAACCTTAAACTCAATCACAGCCTTCCCTTTGTTATATGGAACCTTGTGGTACAATGTCAGAGAGATCCATACACTTACACACAAGTTATTGTCTGAAAACTAGAAAAAATGCTTGTTTTTGGCCCCTTGTTTGCCCTTAATTCCTAAACTGTTGGCCCCATAATCCCTAAAATGAATCCCAACCTTCTACTTATGGTATTAAACATTGTGGTACAATTTCAGAGCAATCGAAATACTTATACACAAGTTATTATCCTGAAAATAGAAAAATGCTTGTTTTGGGCCCCTTTTGGGCCCCTAATTCCCAAACGGTTGGGACCATCATCCCCAAAATCAATCTTCCTTTTGTGGTATTAAACCTTCTTAAAAATTTCATAGCGATCCATTCACTTAAACTAAAGTTATTGTCCGGAAACCAATGTGTCTTTGGACGATGACGCAGACGAGACAACGCAGACGACGACGACATCATACCATTATAGATCATTATACGATCCCAAAAATTTTTTTTGCCGTCGTATAAAAGCTTTCATCGATGTTACTTTTAATACGCTCGTATTATCAAACACGACCGATCCTTTCTCAAAAGACTGTCGCGATAGTTTGTTTACACGGAAAAATGTATTCAACGTTTAATTAATACCCGCGCTTGAGCGTACTTCTTTTTGGTGTATTATCAATAATTTCTTTAAGAAAGAAATTGTTGGCTATGGGGCTTCCAAATACACAAAATATTCCTTTAAATAACCCGCCTAACTTCACTTGTAAAACATATCTAAAAATAACGATTAACAAGGAAATCCACACTGAAGATGTAACCAATCAGGACATGTTTATAAATAAAGGTTTGTTTTGTTTCAGCATGTTTGTACACACGATCATATGACTAGTATTATTTTAAAATTATTCGGGATACTTGTAAAATGTGATGTCAAAATAAATGGCTGGACATTTATTAGTAATGGTAAGCTTAATTTCTTCCTCGTTCATATTAAAGTACTTTCACTATTGTATTATTTAAATAATTGTGTTTGACCGATAAGAAAGAAAAAAAAAACACCCAGTGGTACATGAAATATTGAATACACTTGAGCTGACAAGTAATAATATTTACAAAGGTCATTTACTATAACCATGATTACAGCTAATATTTATACTTTAAGAAAAGACTACACAAGGAAGAAAACTTGAAAATTTTCACAAACTTTTCAGACATTTTGATTTTACTTTGTGATTTTTACAGATTTCTTAACAAAGTGATGAACATTGCATGACGTGACATATGAGTGAAATACTGTAGGTCTACATAAGCAAAAATATGGCTTCAGAAACTGAAGGAAAAGACACATTCAAAGATAAAGACAGGGCGAGAAAGACAAGGAAATCATACAATCGTGACACTTTTGATGTACCTCCAAATAGTTCGTCACTAAAATTGATCATAATGAATACGGGTGGAAAGAACACTGGAGAGAAACCGACAGAGAGAAGGAAACAAGCAATTTTTGACGTCATTTCCAAATCAGAAGCTAGTTTAGTTTTATTGCAAGAGTTTGGATGGGTCAGTATCCATAGTAGAGCATGGGTTGAATTTGAATGGCCAGATAATCTACAATATAAAGGACACAAGGAAGCAAGCATTATTTTTGATATAAATGAAGTTGTAGTAGTGCAATATTCGCAAAAGTTGTTAGAAAGCACGCTTGGGGAACTGATTCGGATCGGGAAAATTCAACAAGGCTTTACACCTATCCCAAGAATGTGTCTTCTAAATGTCAAGACAAAGGGTGTTCCAATCTTAGAGTTCATGTGTGTTTCGTGGCATGGCAGACATAATAAAGCAAAATTAGAGGACCTGAAGGAAGAATTTAAATATCTATTGGAATATATCCTGAAATTATCAGAGAAAGAATCGCTACCATTTGTCTTAGCCGGGGATTTCAATGTGAAGATAAAAGACATTGAAAAACTTGTACCGTCTACTTTAGCTCTGCACAGATACACACCAACAAAAAGAAGAGACGAAGAAAGCGTTATTGACTTTTACATTTCTTCAACATCTTTAATTATGTCCGACGTCAAAACACTAGAACTAAAGACTGAGACGAAAGTAGAGGGTGTACTTTCTCTTTTAGACCATGATCCAGTCGTGGCTTCGTTGACCACCGCATAAAATTCACCCAAAAGCGTTGAAGACAACTAAACTTCATAAAAACGCACATTATCCATAATTAATTTGACTTTTATTGTTTATTATGATGTTGAAGATTTTAAATATGTTTATTTTTACCTCGGTATTAGCCTACCTAAGCTTATTATGTATGGACGACAATCAGGGATCTTGTTGATCTGATATTATGAATTATTTGTTATATTAAATGTAAACTATTATTATATTAAATATATCATATTTATGAAGAAATATATATTTGACAGTATGTGATAGTTGATTTGTTAAAATTGTTGATTTTTTTTATTAAATTGTTATTTTGCTTTAAAGCAGATTGTTTCTTATATATTTGAAATATATAAATATCAAATAAATGAATGAATAAGAAAAAATAAAGCAAATTAATTCAAACTTTGTAAAGATGGTGACCAATATAACCGCCCAGTTAAGGGATCGAATCTCTGGCGTCTTATTAAATGTTATATCTTTAAATAAAAAAGAATATTTTTATAAAAGGGAGTCGAGAGATACCAAAGGTATATTCAAACTCATAAGAAGCTTAAATCATCTGTTCTGTTCTCAACCGACCCTCAATGTCAATTTCTAGATGCAAGTCAAATTATGAGGCAGACTTAATTGTATCTGTTGTATCCTTTATTTCCCCTTAGCTAGATGGGATAGATGCGTTCAACATAGTCACCAAACTTAAACTTATTTAGTATAAACCACGAATAACATTCTTAAATTGAATTGGAGATGTTTCGACGGATATCGATTATTTTGATTTACGGATGAATTAATTATAAATTAGTTCTGTAGTCTCGTGTAATTAGAATAAATATATGTATAAAATCATAGATATTGATTGATGATGGTTATTGGTTGCTTAACGTCCAGTGTCAAATATTTCATGCATGTTCAGGACCATTTTGAGTTGGCTCTCAAAAAAGTCGATCACCGTCGAAACATCCACCATTCAAGAATGTTCGTAATGGTTATATAAAATCTTTTTTTTTATTTCAAAAATATAACATTTTACATGACGTCAGAGTTATATGCTACCTGTAGAATTTCAACTGACCGAAACTCTTTATTCAGCTGCATCAGTTGACTATATACTGGGATACTATATTTTATAGTATGAATTCAATGGAGAGAAGTAATATCATTGCAAGTTTGGTGTATTACAAGTTTCTAATAGTGTGACGTTTTGTAAAAAGTTACAATATTATGGTATTTGGAGTACTGGAGGTATTGTTTATTTGGAAAGTCGGTTAACGAATTAATGATACTGTAGAATGATTGCTCTACATTCAAATATTTAAAAAAGAACCACTAGAAAAAAACCATGGAGGTGATTTATCAGTTTCTCTCGATCATAAGGTATGTATTGTTAATTTTGATTTCATTTTTGTTTAATCATTAGTTTTAAGCTTGGAATCCATTATCTCTTGTGAAAAAACATTATATTATTTTACTATATATATATGAAAATAAATTTAGTACCAGACAATCAAAATAGTATAATGAAAACGAAATAAAGGAATTGCATTAGACGAAAATAGTTCATTAGTCTACTGTTTTCAAATTATAGTTATTACTACAGGTTATTAAACAAAATTACCCAATTGCATTGCCTGCACATTCACAGGAATCTAATTGGTTGGTATATTTTATAAAAATCAGTCAATACAGAAATTATTTTTAAAAGCTTTATTTCATGTGTTATTGGTTCCGTTTACCTACTGTGTTTTCATTATTTATACATATGAGTTTTTTTATAATAAAAAGCGTGAATAAACTACTTTTGGAAAAAAATACTAAATATGAACAGTACGTATTTTTTGGTATGCTACGTGTTTTCTCTCTTTTCAATCATACATTTTTGAATTCGAAACCTAAATGAACCCCAACGATTGGGGAGGGTGTATTGAAAAAATGTTATTGTACTTTCTCCCGTTCGGCCCACAAGCACTTGTCTCTGAAAAAATTACCTAAATACTTTAGTATAACACATTAAAGTATATGGGTAATTTTGTTTTCAGGGACAAGTGCCTGTGGTTCGACCTTAAAACCAATGCTGATGGGGTCACTGTGTGGGATGTATAAATACGCATCCACTTACGATCGAAATGAAAAGGGAGATTACTACGCACTCTCAATTTTGGTAACCATGCAACAAATCGTTCAACGGGGATATTCAAGTGGACAGATGCAAAACAAAATTCGGATTCTGTCTAACATTCACAGTGACTCAAAATTCCAGTCCTTCATCGCGGTCGGTTTACTTTACGAATCTGATCTGGCCTGTGTACGATGATATTGTCAGCAAGCAAATAGATAAACTAAATGCTCAAAAAGGATAAAGGAATGACAGTATTTCCTCTAAAATGTTAAAATGGGCAAAACCTATAATTATCAGTTCTATTGAAACACTGACCAATAAGAGTTTTAAAGCTTCAGTATTTCCAGAAAAGCTAAAGGTCACCAAGGTTAGACACTATCTCAGAAAAAATGAAATGCTCAACAAAGCCAATTATCGTCAGTTAGTGTTGCCAAGTTTTTTTCTAAATATTACGAACGTGCTATATTTGATCAACTAGCTGTGTTTTTTTTATTAACATTTTAACCCCCTTTTATCAGCATTAAGGTCAAATTGCCCTCCTGAAAGTAATCGCGTATTGGAGAAGGCACTGGACGATAAGAAATTTGTCGCAGCAATATGGATGGACTTATCTAAGGCATTCGACTGTTTGCCGCATGAGTTATTAGTATCGAAATGAAAACTTATGGTTTATAAAATTATTACAGAGCTACTTACAAAACAGAAATAGGGTGTAAAGATTGATAATATTAGTGTAATTTTGAATTATGCGCAAAAGTGTTCTGCAAGGTTCTGCACTAGAACCTATGCTTTTTAAATTTTTATTTAATGTTTTGGTGTAATTGACAATAGTATTATATATAATTAGGCTGATGACAACACCTTATCCTATTCCGATCTGGAAATACAAAAAAGGTATTAAAAACTTAGAAAGTGTAAGTCTCAAAATGCTGGACTGGTTTAATGAAAGGTAACCCAGATATGTTCCAAGATAAAACAAACCTCTTAATCGTGATATTGTTTTTAACCTTAAGGGAAATAGATTCGAGTTGGAAAATAATATCTACCGCTACTGGGAGTTTCACTATATTACAGGTTAAATTGTGATAAACATATATCTGAGATTTTTAAGAAGGCCTCTGTTCTTAAACGTATTGGTACAGATATCTGAATAAACTTGGTCGTTTAACAAGTTATTATTCTTTTATATTTCGTATAATCTGAATCACTACCCAGTCACCTGACATTTTGGCAGTAAACAATACAGTTAAGATGGAAAATAATCCAGAAGATAGCCTTGATATTTGTTTATGAAGATTATAATAGCTTATAAAAGAAGATCTTTTACATATGTCAAAAAATCCGTCTCTTAAAGTCACCGCGGCAAAGATTACGAGCCATAGCTGTAGAATTTTTTTTAAAGATAATAAACAAAAAGGGTCCATCATATTAACATGATTTGATTAATGTTAAAAATCAAAATCTAAATTTATTGTAACATGGAATGATACTCCATGCCAATCGCAGGCAATGCCTATTGTTTTGTTTTAAATGTGCATGTTTAATATACATGTTTTGTTTAAAATAAAACGATATAATAGCTCAATAGATTAATGTTCCCTGTATACTGTCATTGGTTTATGAAAAATGTTTTTGAAATTGAACTTAAACTTTCTTTAGGGAGCTACCGTTTGATTTTTATGGGGTCTAGGATGAAATTTGAAAAAAAAAAAATAGGCAAGACAGGAGTTTTGAGTAAAAAAAAAGGCAGGATGAGACACTTTGCAAAAAAAAAAAGGCGGGATGACAATTTATGTAAAAAAAAGTCAGGATAAACTAAAAAAAAAAGGCAGGACCGAAAAGAGTGAAAAATAAACAGACAGGACAGAGATTACAAATAAAAAAAATGCAGGACAGAATTTTTCATCCTAGACACTTAGACACTTAGACAACTTTCTGTTGAGGTCAAGCGGAACAAAACAAAGGTCACCAGCAATGAGCTGAGGGAAAACAGTTTGGAAAGTGGACATTTTAAAATGTTGATAGTTGAAGAAGCAATTTTTAAAAGAAAAATTAAAGTCATTAAAAATGCTTTGTTTGATGTGTTATCGATGGTTTAAACATGTTTCTATGAAAAGTTTTATGCACAATACATTGTTTGCACAAAGAAGTATTGATAGCTTCAACTGGGTTGGAAAGTTGTGTAATTTTAGAACTTATCCGGATAGGAATACATAGCGATAAGGTGTATTGTAGTTAGTCATATTTGCTTTTCGTCTGTCATATTTGTTTTTTCGTTAATTGTTTTGTTATAAATTACGCCGTTAGTTTTCTCATTTTATTTGTTTCATATTTTCATGTCGGGACCTTTTAGGCTTTTATAGCCGACTATACGGTATTGGTTTTCTCATTGTAGAAGGACATACGATTGCCTATAATTGCTTACATGCACTTCATTTGAACTTTGGTGGATAGTTGTCTCATTGGCAATCATACCACATCTTATTTTTATATTAAATCATTAATATTTCTCCCCAAATTTTTCATATCAAATTAACTCTATGCTGTTCCCCCATTTCATGAGATCAGTTTTGTATATATTAACTAGGCACGTGCTTTGTTCAGATAACCTTTTCTTTTAATAAGTGAGCAACCATCAAGGAGGGGGTATGGTTTTTTGTCTGAGTCAGAAAAAGGTATGGGGAAAATCTGGATTCAGAATATTTTGTTTTGTCATCTGCTTGACCACAATATTTTTTATCATCAAATTGGGGATCAGAATATTTTTTTAGGAAAAAATCATAACCCCCCTACTTGAAGTTAAATGGTCGTTGATACTTCTTTGGGACCCGTGTCCTTTCATTTCCTTGGGTTCATGTTGAATCACTTCCGCAGTCAACCAATGAACTGACAATATGTTGGCAACAAGCAGAATATTCCGACTTTGTACACAATATTCTTTTCAATGTGTCAAAAGAAATGCATTTCATTGTTCATCAGTTCGAAGCGCAAAGGTTGCCGTGGTAAGTACTTTCAATTTAATCGATTTCTGTGTGTATAGTTCATTGTTTATCTTAAGCATGGAGGGCAATTTTTCATGTTGAATATGATCAGATAGCTTTCTCAAAAAGAAAATTTTATCGGGACGAGGCTGTATAAAATCCGGAACGCACGAGAATTCTTTCTCTTCGTTTGTATTAGTTTATATTACCACTATACAAATCCTTGATATTACAAAATAATTTGCTACAGGTATCTTTGAATGAATGCTTTATTTTGCAACAGGATATATTGAAGTTCGTTTTCAAGAACAAAAGTATTCAATATTGTTGTAATTTGTTCATTTGCAAATACTTCATGTATATTGAAGAAGAGAAAAAAACCTATTTGTTTACCATAATTGAGTTACGCCGGTTCTACAAAGGGGTCGATCGGGGCAAATGCGTTCAATATGAACTTACATTTGAAAAGAGGATTATTAGAGAAAGTCAGAAATGACAGGGTGGGAATAATTCTAAGAGAGAATATAGTTAACAACAATATAGCTACCTCAAACATTAACAAAACTAAAATGAATAAATATTATACATTGTAAAAATCTACACTACATACAGTTTGTAAAAAAGAATATTTTAATGAATTATTTTTTTTTATTCATTTAATATTCTGTATATTTTCAAACTATCAACAGTTTCAACATTTTTTTATATACATGTGGTAAACATTCTATAATATTGTGCCTGTATAATGGAAAGTTTTCTTCACAAAATTTGAAAAATTTCTCAAAACGAATAAGTTTCTATTATTTGACGACCTCAAAGAATATTTTGCAGAGTTAGCACATGTATAGTAAAGATGGTGTTGACGTTAGCATGACACACTCCTTCACAGAGTTAGCACATGTATAGTAAAGATGGTGTTGACGTTAGCATGACACACTCCTTCACAGAGTTAGCACATGTATAGTAAATATGGTGTTGAAGTTAGCATGACACACTCCTTCACAGAGTTAGCACATGTATAGTGAAGATGGTGTTGAAGTTAGCATGACACACTCCTTCACAGAGTTAGCACATGTAGAGTGAAGATGGTGTTGAAGTTAGCATGACACACTCCTTCACAGAGTTAGCACATGTATAGTGAAGATGGTGTTGAAGTTAGCATGACACACTCCTTCACAGAGTTAGCACATGTATAGTGAAGATGGTGTTGAAGTTAGCATGACACACTCCTTCACATAGTTAGCACATGTATAGTAAAGATGGTGTTGAAGTTAGCATGACACACTCCTTCACAGAGTTAGCACATGTATAGTAAAGATGGTGTTGAAGTTAGCTTGTCACACTCCTTCACAGATAGTTAAAGAACGTATGTCGATGTATCTAGCTGTCTTTGATGTTAGATTAAATATGTCAATAACAGTGTTTTGGTGTTAAGTTTTTTGGGCTTTGTATGGAGTGGATTTTAAATTAATTACACTCTGATTTGTATTATATGTTTCAGGATATTATCCGAATGGGAAATTTTCAATTAATGAAACACCTATTGTCAGAATATTGTCCTGATGTGGAGTATACACGAATGCCACCCGATAGTATTATCTTGTTCAAGTATTGTTCAGATGAGGATTATTATTTAATATCACACCGACGATGTTATCTTTTTTAAGGTATTGTCCGGATGTGGAGTATACACTATTGCCACCCCTATTGTGTAATCTTTTTCAGGTATTGTCCAGATGTTGAGTATGCACTATTGCCACCCCTATAATGTGATCATTTTCAGGTATTGTCCGGATGTGGAGTATACACTAATGCCACCCCGATAGTGTTATCTTTTTCAGGTATTGTTTGGATGTGGAGTTTACACTAAAGCCACCCATATGGTGTTATCGTTTTCAGGTATTGTCCGGATGTGGAGTTTACACTAATGCCACCCCGATGGTGTTATCTTTTTCAGGTATTGTCCGGATGTGGAGTATACACTAATGCCACCCCGATGGTGTTATCTTTTTTAAGTATTGTCCGGATGTGGACTATACACTAATGCCACCCGGATGGTGTTATCTTTTTCAGATATTGTCCGGATGTGGAGTATACACTATTGCCACACCTATGGGGTTGTCGTCTTCAGGTATTGTTCGGATGTGGAGTATACACTAATGCCACCCCTATGGTGTTACTCTTTTTCAGGTATTGTTCGGATGTGGCGTATACACTAATGCCACCCCGATGGTGTTATGTTTTTCAGGTATTGTTCGGATGTTGAGTTTACACTAAAGCCATCCGTATGGTGTTATCTTTTTAAGGTATTGTTCGGATGTGGAGTATACACTAATGCCACCTCGATGGTGTTATCGTTTTCAGGTATTTTTCGGATGTGGAATATACACTTATGCCACCCCTATGGTGTTATCTTTTTAAGGTTTTGTTCGGATGTGGGGTATACACGACTAATGCCACCCCAATTGTGTTATTTTTCAGGTATTGTCCGGATGTGGAGTATACACTAATGCCACCCCGATTGTGTTATCTTTTCAGGTATTGTCCGGATGTGGAGTATATGATGGAACAGAAGTACACGAGGCCTCAGCGTAAGATAATGTTAAGTTACATTAATATAATATTCGACCCATCATTCACGATAGAATCATTTTACAAATTACACGTTATGTAACGTATAAATTTGATACTGGTGCATCTTTGGCTGGATCCAAAATAAGAATATTAAATGTTGAATTAATTATTTTGATCCATTAAAATGTCCCGAGTCTTTTTTTTTTAATAATCACTCACCACAGTGAGTTTAATATATTTTCTCATGTAAGACATAATCTAATTTTACTTATATTCATAATGTTATCTAGATCTAATATCTATTAGTATCTACCAGGTGTTAGTAACGTGGTTTAACCGTTAAGGTTGGCCACAGTAACCCTAGCCTTGGATTTTGACCAACTTCATCTTCACGCGGTACGAGCACTATGATTGGACCCAAGGCTACAGTAACGAGGACATCTACTAAGATTGATAAATATTTATTATTACCGGCATTTATATTAAGTTTTATTGATATATAATTCAAAACAAAAAAGAATTATACGTCTGTTGGTGACATTTTGATTCTGTTGTTCACCCTGTGTGCTTTACTAAGCCCTGATATTCTTAATAATCTGCTGTCCAAATCTTCATTTAACCAAATGTTGAGATTAAAAAAACAAATAATATGGCCTAAATTTCCAAAGTTCACCAAGAAAAAAAATCTTCTCGGTCCAAAGTTTGTATCAATCCATCATGAAATAGAAATTCATTTTTTTTTTTATATAATATAAAGTGAAACTGTTCTAATATAAATTGTGTTGTTAGTCTAGATCTAAAGTATATGTTCATGCATCCAAATCATTAATTTAATCCAAATTGCTTTCAGCAATGCACTGTTCAATTTAGGCAGTATGACTATCTCGATTTTCCAGTTTAAATATGCCATCAGTTCCAGAAGTATCTATATAAGGTGATACTGTAGGGCCTTGTCCTTTCTTGAAAATCAAAATCACACTTTATGAATTTGATGTGGCCGAATCGCTTTCCCGGATTAACCTTCAACAGGAACGTTCATACCCAAAATTTGAGATCCAAATACACACGTGATGATTTTTATGACCAAAAACGACCTAAGAATAATAGTCAAATACACCTAAGGTCAACTTTGCGTGAGGAAGTTCAACTTGGATCCTTAGTTTTTAATAATTTACAATTTATCAATATTTACATCTATAAGATGCCAGCATTTGACAAGCTTGAAAGCCTAATTAATCTTACACATTTTTTGTACAGATACATTCATTAACTAAAAAATATTTGCAATATCGTACAAAATGATTTTATAAACGAAGTAAGGGATGTATATCATAATAAATCAACCCTGGTATATATAGATTTATTATTGTTTGTTAAACTTAATTTAATATGGGTGGACTCAATTGTTGCAATATCGGTTGACATGAGTTGTTCTTATATTCCCTTTTCCGAAAGCCATTGAAAATGCTGATAAAAATTGCAGATGGTCCAAGAAATATTGTGTAATATAGCATATAATATGTGTGTTTTAGTTCCTATTATTTTAACAATTTATTAAAATGTATGTGAAGTGATATAAACATAGGTATGCCCGTCTGAGAAAATGTATAAATATTTAGATGCCAATTATTATGTTAATTGTACGCACATCCTAAAATACCACAAGGACAGAGCAGTATAGATAACTGGGCTTCTTCCGTCCGGAAGAAAGAACAACGTTGAACACGGCGCTTGGCACGGGATGTGGAAATACACTTTCGCGACCGGTTTCTTGAGGTTTAATTGTATAATGCAAGACACGTGTTGAGAAAATGCTAAATAATGTTCAACTGAGCATTTTCAACACTTAAATGAATTATTCACTCGATAGTATAAGAAGCTGCTATAACACAATACCAGTGAAGTATATGTTTCTTAATTTAACCAAGTTATACAAACATCAAAAGTATGAGCAATCTTGTTTAAGGGTGGTAATGATTTGTTTGTGCAATATATTAGAAGTTGATGTCGATCATTATCGGAATGACTTTTCTTCATATGGGTCCAAATTTAAATAATCAGTCGATGATATAGATGTAGTAAATTCGCTCTCTATTAAATGAGATGTAAACGTTTCTGTCTAAGCCAGATATATTTTAATGACCCTCATATGATAGATTTAAACCTTTTTGAATGGTTAAATTTGTTTCAAACTGTTTTTAAAAGTTTGAAAAAAACATTGCTCAGTTTGCATTTCATTTTTCTGTCGGTCTGATGGTTTTTATATTCTATTCCTTTTTACTTTGTGATATTTATTTGTTTGATTTGGAGTATGTTTCTTAGTATGCATACCAATTTTATGACTATACTTTCAGCGGGATTCTATAAAACTTCGATGGCTTTAGTTCTACAAGACACACAGGCTCAAGTTATATTCTGCGTATGCTATTGTAAATATATTAGGTGAATGTAGCATCTTAGTGTGTGATTTTACTTTCAGGATATTAGTTCATCTTAGTAGAAATAAAGCAGACGTATCCATGTTTGCACCGGACATTGAACAAATGCATGCTATCGACCACACGAAAGGAGAACCAATGCCAACAAATAGGTCAGAATTTACAACTGTTTTAAATGAGTCTCAACGAATAGAAGTTTTTTTTACATTAAGAATGCAATCCATATGTAGAAACTGATCTTTGTGTAAGAAATTGCAATTTATAATGATAATAATCGATTTGTCGTAAAGCATATGAAACGAAGCTTGTAACAAACAAAATACAAATTATAACATATATCTATATACAATGAATATTTACTTTCTTCAGTACGTCCTGGATAATACAAACGCATCTGACCTATAACTTTTAATCACATGTCACCATTCTAATTATAACCTCCCTACGTATAACTTACAGGAATGTCTTAGTAGAATCAGCACGTATCGCCAGAGGCAAAGTGCAAGCACTATCAAATCTTACAGCCAATGATTACGATGCAGTCATATTTCCAGGCGGGTTTGGAGCAGCTAAAAATTTGTAAGTTTGGGATATCATAGGCGGATCCAAGGGGGGGCCTGCCCCCCCTTTTGTGGGAAACATTTGGTTGATTATATAGGGAATCACTGAAGCATGACTGGAGCGGGCCCCCTTATACAAAGTTCTGGATCCGCGACTGGATATGATATTTATGGAATTTATCAACCATTGTGAAGTTTATTTATTCTGGTTTTTTCACGTGACTATCACATTTTGCATTAAGCGTGGAAGTATTTTTAAACAATAAACGTTTGCACGAACAAATTGTAAAAATAATGTTAATTTCTTATATAGGTGGGCGGAACCAATAACTCTATATTGTTGGGTTGCTTTTACATAAATTGAAAACATCTGACGGAACGAGGTGAATAGTCTTTCCGTTTAGTTTGATTTCAAAACATCTCGTCATGCGGTAAATAGATAACATGCCACAGCCATAAGAGAAAACAAATAAGTCAGTTATTAGAAGGTAAGTTGATAGACGTGAAAGTGTAAATCCAACTCTGAAATAGGGGTGTGTCGGCTAGAAATTTTATCTTGTAATTCGCTACCTACGAATTCTCAAAATTTATATTGCAATGGGTCTTTAACGTAAGCAAAACTTTACATTCTGACAACACGGGGAGTCGTTTTTAAACATCTTGCAGAGCCATATGAATCCAGCGCTGATCTTACTTCTGGATGGGATATGTCCAGGTGACCATGTATTTCATTGTATAATCGTTTGTTCTATTGATTGAGAAAATAAATAAGGAAATGGTTAAGTATCCATGAAACTAGTTTAACTTAGTCAAGTTTATGTTTTATTTCAATTCATAAATGTTTTTGAATGGAGTCTATTCTGTCCTTCGATGAAAACCGTATAAGACCTCTAGATGTGTTTTTGTTTTGTTGTTTTATATGGATATCTCCTTTCTTTAGTCTGCGTTACCTTGTTTTTACACTAGATCGCCTTTAGTTGTTAAACAAATGTATCACAGGCTGATAATATTCCGGTTTAAAGTCAGAATTTGAATCATAGCGGATGTTCCTTTCCTAATGAGAAATATTAGCATACTTTAATTTTCCCCATTATTAGATTTATTTTGTCATAATGATTCAAATTCTTAATGTCAGACTTCGTCATTTGTACAAACGAGGGAAAGCGGTTTGAACATATGAAGCAACCATGACAAATACTTTTATCATAGTCATACATTAAATTATTACCATTAATTTTTTGTTATGTATGTATCTATACTTTTATTAACAACTGATAGGTCAAATTTTGCCGTTGATGGTGCTAACATGAAAGTAAACAGTGATGTAGGACGTATTATACAAGAATTTCACAAAGGCAACAAACCTATTGGGTAAGTGTATTGACTTTTTTTTTATGTTGACGCAACAATACCTTTGAGAATTTTTTTGTTAAATGAAGCCTATTATTATTTTGATAAAATAAGACTAACAAATCGTGCATATAATTGGAGAGATGAAAAAAAAAATTAAACAAACAACTGTGTGTCGTCATATGCGTTAGTACTAACATTATTTCTTCCAAAAACATACAAAAACTGTCGAAAATGAAAAACCATGTCTTAGAATGATTGCACGAAGTCATGCAAAAGTCGTTAAAGTCGATTGATATTTGCTACTTGACAAAAATGAAGTTTTCGGGTTTTAACTTGTTTGTTTCAAAGATTCTTAGGAGCACATAACTGATATTTAGAAAGCATTAAGATGTTTTGATTTATGCAAAAATGTTACAGGCCCAGTGCCTCTCATTGTCTGTATATCGGGGAAGAGTTCATGCATTCTTTTTTTGTCCGAAAAATCTATAAAAATACATACGTTTTAGCATAAGGAAGTATATTCCTAAAGTTTTAAAACAGTTTCTCTAAATTATTTTTATTAATCATTTAGTATTTTGCTAAGTTATTCATCTAATTTTATCTAAGGCTGTGTTGCATTGCTCCAGTTTTGGCTGCAAAAGTGATTCCCGGATGTGAAGTTACAGTCGGTTCAGATCAAGAAGAAGGAGGCAAGTGGCCATATGCTGGAACAGCCGCGGCTATTGCAACAATGGGGGCATCACATCAGAAGAAAGATGTCACTGTATCCTTTTAAACCTTACTGTGGTTTGAATATGAATGAAAAGAGATGTGTTTTCATTGGTATCTTCTATCAGTTATGAATTTGATGCAGGTCATGTGCTGCTTCCTTTCCGGTTTTTGGAAATCTTTCCAGCATCTTCAGTTCATGTGCTTTGTTTTTCAATCGTTTTTTTATCTGTGTCATAGATAACATTGTTGGTGATGGGAAATGACGCTGTATCGAAAATATTTTCAAATATGGTCTTTAATATATTATTACAATTGCAAATACATTTTCCAAAGTAAACTTGTATATAGTTTCATTCTGGAGTGATGGTCAGCACCAGACAATTGTATATCACTGTTAACTACATTTTCCCTTTCATTGACTTTGGTTTAGTTTGCGTTTAATTTCATAGCACATTCACTATGATTAGAAAAATCATGTAAACTAGTGTTTTGATGTATTACATTGTATGAGTGAAGTTCATCGTCCAGACAAAAGTAAGTTACTGTGACTTACAGTTGCCATTTCAGATAATGGTAAAGTTGAACGTCCGTGTTTATATCGGAAGTTATTAGTGTACCAGGATCAGATAAACCCTTGTGTGAAGTCATCTAGCCAAAAAATGGAAGATGTACTTGAGTTATTTTTTTTAAGTCCACGTTCATATTTCAGTCACTTAATTTATGAAATAGAATTATGTACACTTGTATATTGGTGCATGCATCAAGAAAAAGAAAGTCATTGTAGCTACATTTTACGCTTTATTGACTTTGATAGTCGTATCCAAGTTTATATCTCAGTCCTTTCAAATGATACCATCATGTAAATTTTTGTATCGATCAATCCCGGAATAGAGTCCAACTTCAAGTAAGATGTGTATTACTCTTGTTACAGTCCGTTAGATGAAAAATGTTAAAATAAGGCTTTTTTTATTTGAGATAGATTTGACATGTATGATCTCTGGTAATGATGAGATTTGACATGTATGATCTCTGGTGATGATGAGATTTGACATGTATGATCTCTGGTGATGATGAGATTTGACATGTATGATCTCTGGTGATGATGACAGGTCTTTTATTGTCTTAGCACTATTTTCTTAGAATCACGGTGATCGAGAGCTTGAAAAATTTATAGACACTTTTGTACTGCTAAATACTTTATTTGATTTGATTGTTTGATGATTTTTATTTGCATGTATGTCTCATCCGATCAATTTCGATGAGGCAACACCATAAAAGGGAAAAAAACTCCAAGCATCTAATGATTTTACAAAATTTAGAACTCCTTAACTTAATAACAAGGATGTACATGTAGATCAGAAAAACAAAATCATAACTACACCTGCCTACATGTGTGAAACTGCACTACACGAAATATTTGATGGTATTGGCAAAATGGTTACTGGTGTTTTAAAACTTACCACGTGATGTTGTTATAAGTATTTGACTATAAAACAGTATTGATGTTGAGAACAAAGAATGTGTTTTCTTTTACACCTGTTATTGAAATAAAGTGACTGTAGAACGTGTGGTATTAAATAACAGATTTCTTAACTTTTTTGTTGATTTGTATTTTAACTTGGTGAACTGTTACAGGTTTATATGACTAGCATGGAATTTTGCATTCATTTAGATAAATATCTATTGCATATTATTTTCTTCTTTAAATTCAAGCTGATATATTGTAAGTCAAAACATCGAACAGACTTTATAGTCAAGTAAACGCGTACACTTTTTGAAACTTTTCAAATCTTTACTTCTCCAAAAAATATCCAATAGTTCCTCCTAACATGCTAACCAAAGTCAAACAAGTTTGCCCAGAATTATAGGGTTGTTGTTTTAAAAATAGCCATATGTAGTTTATGGACGCTATACTATTAAATTGTTTTTGTCTGTTTCTATGTTACTTCATATCCACTAAGACACTGTATGACCATTACCTCAGACAACATCAAACAAATGATATTGACAGAGCTAGCTAGCAAAATGGCCATATCTTTACAATCATATACCGTTGTTCAATGAATAAAGGAATTATTCCCGATGACTGCCAGGCTTATGTTTGCGGTTCACCAGTCTAGTGAACCACAAAAGTTACACACGCATTCAAGAGAGATCAGAAATATAAACCAGCAAACTGAAGCCCAATATTTTTACTTGCATTTTGTTGTAAAATAATAGAAGGAAAGTCACTTGTCCAGTTACGCCATGAAACATTCAGAGAAAAAGACATTGCTTTTCTCATATGAAACACATCTTAATCAATGTATTAATGAAAACGAAACAGATCTGTTAATTCTAGACTACAAAGCTGTTAACATTGTCAAACAGTCTACTCATACATAAACTGTGGTATCAGATGAAAGACAAACAGAAGGATTAGAGAATTTCTTTCCAACAGAGCAACATTGCAGATAAAGCCAACCGAAGCCTTGGTTTCCTACATCGAAGTCTCCTTATCAGACCGAAATCAATCAAAGAGGATGCTTATTAGACACTTGCAAAACCCCAAATGGAAAATGCTACGAAAGTATGGGACCCCTATCAGCAACACCGCGAAGATAAACTCGAAAAAGGTTAAAAGGCGACCTGGAACATATGTCCTTAGAAGACATAGGAATAGATGGTGTTAGCAACATGAGAAGTGATGAAGAATGAAAAAGGCTACAAACAAGGCACAAAGAAGCACGACTTATGTTTTACAAAATACATTTTTTTGACCCAGCCATAAAAGATTGTATTAAGTGATCCTTCTTGGGTAACACTGTCAAGGACTGGAACGAACTGCCTCCAGATATATCGTCACAGCGAAATCAATTTAAATATTCAAGTCTAAAGTGACGAGCACCAGGGGCGGATCGAGAATTTTTAAAGGAGGGGAGGGGGGTAGGCGTAAAAGCCGAAAATTGAATGTATTTTGAAATTATTTTGAACGATTTTAGGGCTTTAGAAAAAGAAATATTTTCCAGTCAAAAAGGGGGTGGGGGGCTTCCGCCCTGTCGCTCCCTCTGAATCCAACACTGAGCACCACTTAATGTCCTTATTACATATTGTTTTAACTACTTTTTCTTTATATACTAGGTTTTTGCTAGTCCGTTAATTTACCCGTCTTAAACAGAGTTTAATGGTTTCCAAACTTTGAACAGGCACTCCAGTCTAACTGAACATGAGTAAATCTTAGGTCTTATAAGATAATCTTTTTAACTGGATATTTGATATTCAGCACATGTATAATTGCACTTTGGTACTGAATTCTTGTAATGTGCGTTTTTTGTCGAGCCTGCGACTTCTGTCGCGGAAAGCTCGACATAGGGATAATGATCCGGCAGCGACGGCGTTAACTAACTGCTTAAAAGCTTTATTTTTTAGAAGGTGGACGACCTGGATGCTTCATACTTTGTATATAGATGCATTATGTTATGAATGTTCCGTCTGTCATATGTCCATTGTCCTTGGCCTCATTTTCATGGTTCAGTGACTACTTGAAAAAAAAGTTAAGATTTTATCTTAATTTCTCTCTTATTATGAGTAATAGGATAACTATATTTAGTATGTTCGTACCTTGCAAGGTCTTCATGCCTGTCAGACAGTTTTCATCTGACCTCAACCTCATTTCATGGACCAGTGAACAAGGTTAACTTTTCGTGGTCAAGTCTATATATCAAATTCTATAAGCAAAAGGTCTACTATATTTGGCGTATGGAATGATTGTAAGGTGTACATGTCCAACTGACAGGTGTCATCTGACCTTGACCTCATTTTCATGATTCAGTGGTTGAAGTTAAGTCTTTGTGTTTTGGTCTTTTTTTCTAATACTATATGCAATAGGTCAACTATATTTGGTGTATGGAAATATTTTACGATGTACATGTCAGTATGACAGGTTTTATTTGACCATGACCTTATTTTCACGGTTCATTGCTCAGTATTAAGTTTTTGTGTTTTGGTCTGTTTTTAGCTCACCTGGCCCAAAGGGCCTAGTGAGCTTTTCTCATCACTTGGCGTCCGTCGTCCGTCGTCCTGCGTCCTGCGTCCGTCGTCCGTAAACTTTTACAAAAATCTTCTCCTCTGAAACTACTGGGCCAAATGTGACCAAACTTGGCCACAATCATCATTAGGGTATCTAGTTTAAAAAATGTGTCCGGTGACCCGGCCAACCAACCAAGATGGCCGCCATGGCTAAAAATAGAACATAGGGGTAAAATGTAGATTTTGGCTTATATCTCTGAAACCAAAGCATTTAGAGCAAATCTGACATGGGGTAAAATTGTTTATCAGGTCAAGATCTATCTGCCCTGAAATTTTCAGATGAATCTGACAACCCGTTGTTGGGTTGCTGTCCCTGAATTGGTAATTTTAAGGAAATTTTGCCGTTTTTGGTTATTATCTTGAATATTATTATAGATAGAGATAAACTGTTAACAGCAATAATGTTCAGCAAAGTAAGATCTACAAATAAGTCAACTTGACCAAAATGGTCAGTTGACCGCTTAAGGAGTTATTGCCCTTTATAGTCAATTTTTAACCATTTTTCGTAAATTTTTGTAATCTTTTACAAAAATCTTCTCCTCTGAAACTACTAAGACAAATTTAACCAAACTTGTCCACAATCATCATTAGGGTATCTAGTTTAAAAAATGTGTCCGATGACCCCGCCCGCGAACCGAGATGGCCGACATGGCTAAAAAATAGTACATAGGGTAAAATGCAGTTTTTGGCTCATATCTCTGAAACCAAAGCATTTAGAGCAAATCTGACAGGATAAAATTGTTCATTAGGTCAAGATCTATCTGCCCTGAAATTTTCAGACCAATCAGGCAACACGTTGTTTGGTTGCTGCCCATGAATTGGTAATTTTAAGAAAATTTTGCAGCTTTTGGTTATTATCTTGAATATTATTATAGATAGAGATAAACAGTACACAGCAATAACGTACATCAAAGTAAGATCTACAAATAAGTCAACATGACCAAAATTGTCAATTGACCCCTTAAGGAGTTATTGCCCTTTATAGTAAATTTTTTACAATTCATAAAGTTTGTAAATTTTTGTAAATTTTTACAAAATATTTTCCACTGTAAATACTGGGCCAAGTTCATTATAGATAGAGATAATTGTAAGCAGCAAGAATGTTCAGTAAAGTAAGATCTACAAACACATCACCATCACCAAAACACAATTTTGTCATGATTCCATCTGTGTCCTTTGTTTAATATGCACATAGACCAAGGTGAGCGACACAGGCTCTTTAGAGCCTCTAGTTCTTAAACTTTAAGCTATAGGTCAACTATATTTGGTGTATGGAATGATTGTAAGGTGTACATGTCCAACTGGCAGGTGTCATCTGACCTTGACCTCATTTTCATGATTCAGTGGTTAAAGTTATGTTTTTGTGTTTTGGTCTTTTTTTCTAATACTATATGCAATAGGCCAACTATATTTGGTGTATGGATATATTTTACGATGTACATGTAACTCTGGCAGGTTTTATTTGACCTTGACCTCATTTTCACGGTTCATTGCTCAGTGTTAAGCTTTTGTGTTTTGGTCTGTTTTTCTTAAACTATAAGCAATAGGTCAACTATATTAAGTGTATGGAATGATTGTAAGGTGTACATAGATATAAGAAGATGTGGTATGTCTGTCTGGCAGGTATCATCTGACCTTGACCTCATTTTCATGGTTCATTGGTCAATGTTAAATTTTCATGGTTAAGTTTGTTTCTTAGATACTATAAGCAATAGGTCAACTATATTTAATACATTGATGTAAGGTGTACATATATTTCCGGTTTGGTTTATCTGACCTTGGCCTCATTTTTTTGGATCATGTTAAGTACTGATATGTGATACTTGTAATAAAGCTTTATATTTAGGACTATCAACATAAAATCAATGATCAGTAATGACATTTCAGCGTGTGCACTCTTGTTGTGTAAAGAAATGAACAATATATCACTTTGGTATGACTAGATATACTATATTTAATACTAAATGGATCAAGTGATCAGCTGCATTAAACGCCAGAAAAAAAACGCAAGAAAACGTCTGTAATATAGTTTAAATTTCATATTTAAAATTTAAATGTTCTCCGTTCATGTTTTCTTTGAGATGAGCATCAAACTGTTCATTTTCAGCAACAGTAAACTGGTTTTTCCAATCACCAACAACACCTAAAATATAGAATTTGTTTAATTCAAAATATTTCCTAAACATTGTAGGTTTTTATTTTTTCAGTAAAAGTCTATAGATTATTTTTGCATACGGAAGACACACACAAGCGAGTGAAAACTAGCGCTACAAACTGATGCTGTTTGAACTGCATATTTATCGAGAGAAATTATTTTAATTTCATGGATTCAAAATACTATTTTGCTTAAAAGGACAAATAAAACATAATATTATTGCTAGTTTATATCACCTTAGACCTGTTGACCCCCAAATCAAAAGGTGACACTTTAATATATAACATAGATCTTTTTATGTAAACATTTTTTTATTGTAACTATAATATTAACCCTGTATGTTTCGATTGTAATTGTAATACATCATTGAAGAAATTCTTGTCTACACTTTGTGTTTTGTTGACTTTTGTAGGTCAGATATTTCTCTGAACTCTAACTATAACATGGACACCGAAAACATTTTTTATAGAACATTAAAGGTTTTTAACAGAGTCCATACCTTTTCTATATAAATCTGATACTTGTTCTGAATTGACAACCGCTGTTCCACTGTCTCTTTCCTTTTCTGCGTCTTTCATTTTATTCAAACTGCATTTTTCCTTTATTTCTTGTAATATCTTTTCATCTCTGGGATATCCAATGAAATTGGCTAGTTTTGAAAGACATGACACTGCATCCTACAAAAAAAAAAAACAGTATAATTAACCTTAGCATAAACATGAAATTGTATCATATATTTATAGTATAAACATGTCTAAGCATTTCATAGCTAACTATACGGTAAGGGTTTTGCTCGTTGTTGACGTTGGCCAAGAGTTGCTTACATGTACAACCTCGTCTTTTTGTCTCGGTGGATAGTTGTCTCATGTACAATCAAAGCACATCTTCTTTTTTTATATATACATATTACGATAAATGCTTTAAGACGTGGACGTTACTAAAAAAAACAATTCAAAAGTTCACCTAGAGGAACTTTGAAAAGGGAAAATACAGGGTTTATAGTATAGGAAAATATAAAAACGATATATGATTTTTAAAAAACATATCTTCTTCATTTAAAACAAACACATTTGCAATCTGCAAAATAAAGTCTGCAATTTTTGCAATGTACTGAAATGCTTTGAATGAAGTTTATATCCAAGAGTAAAAATGGTTTTGAGTTACACACACTGAGCTGACAAATATATTTTGTAGTTTAAGATGTAGATTCATAAACAGTTATTCCTCTTAGTCGTAATGGCTTTATTATGTGCCAACTTAACTTTAAAAATTCATTGACGGTAGTCTACTATTATTCACTTAAATAAAATTGCAATAGACAGTATCTGGATTGGTAAGCCCGTCAGTATCAAATATTACTACGGGGTCTTATAAAAAAAATTATGTATCAGTTCCATGATTGATGAGCTAGGAAATATGAGCAACATTCAGAAAAAATAAAAATACTACCAGGATGGTACAGTGTGGTTCTGACCTTTTCATGCTCTCTACATCATATTATAAAACATCAGAATGGTGTTGTTTAAACTTTAGTTTGAGGAAAACCGAATCAAAGAAAGGAGCCTGGTGATATATTTCATTATTATATACTTAGTAGTAAATACAAGTAAATTGTATGTGTAATACAATCAATGACAATCGTGCTCTATCAGCCATCCGTGATGATATCGATATCAGTCACGGTTGCAAAATTTTTATCACACCCCTAAGTTGTATGACGTCACGTCATCGATATCAGTCACGGTTTCAAAGGCTTTTTCAAACCCCTAATCTATATAACGTCATGTCACGTCTAAAAAACATCTACTTTGGGTATATAATAAAGTGTATATGATATGGCTTTTTCAATATCACACACCGCATCAACCCTCAACCAATATAATCCCTCGAGCAGAGCTCTTGGGATTATATTGGTGTCTCGGATTGATACGGATGTGATATTGAAAAAGCCATATAATATTCTCTATTAATTGTTTAGTTTCTGGAAAATTCGTCACATATATATCATGGTAAACTGTAACTTGTATATTGAAGGGACTTTCTAACTTACTATTTGAAGGTCTTCGTAATTCATAACAAATACATCAAGGTCGTTAGATGATGTAAACTCAGTCCATCTCTTGTTATAAAAGAACCAATTCGAACTCACCTCCCGATCTGAAAAGAATGTGATATAAGTGTGTTTCTCATATAAAACAAAAACCAAACTTCTTCGCCATCAAATGAAACATTACAAAATTTTAAATATTTCTCAGTTCTTTCGTAAAAGCATATACAAAGGAACATCATAAAATTCGCTTCGTCCAGTAAATTGGCTCTTCAACCGAATACGTAATTGAACTTCCAGCCTAACATGGTTATCCAATCAAGTTATTCATCGTGTACGGTGAAAGAAACACCGAATTTTACTAAGTTGAACGTATTCAACATTATTTGTTGCATATATCAGAGGTTGGATTGGGGCTTACAAGTTGATACTGGGCAAAACAAAAAACAAAAAGAAGAAAAAAAAGAGAAAAATAATGATTATAGAGTAATGGGTGCTAAATATTAAGAATACAGATTAATTGGCAAAAATATAAAGAATACAGAATAATTGGCCAAAATATAAAGAATACAGAATAATTGTCCAAAATATAAAGAATAGAGAAATGAAGACTCTCATATATGTGATAGCCACTACAAAAAAACTAGACAAAGTGGTGCCCCCGCACTCAACTCTGAAGTAACTGTTTTATAACAAAGTCAATGTAGGACTTTCTTTGAGATATTATTGTGTCTGGGAGACACAAATGATGCCTCCGCAGATGCAAAGTGTTATTTTAAAATACACAAAAATGAGCATGGGAGCACATAGGTCTATGGTTCACTGTAGGAGGAGTTATCCGGAAACGCTATGCACCTCTTATGCAAGTATATGCTCCAAAAATGACAAAGTTCAACTATCTCCCAAAAGAGCAAATAACAATAAAAATCAAAACCCTGACCACATGCACACCTTCAATATATGTACAAACAGCCAGCAAAGTGAAAACTTTCTAGCATTCCAACTGTAGGAGGAGTTATCTGGAATAGCTATGCACCTCTCATGCAAGTATGAAGTCAAAAATTGACAAAGTTCAGCTATCTCCCAAAAGAGCAAATATCAATAAAAATCAAAACCCTGACCTCATGCACACCTTCAATATATGTACAAACAGCCAGAAAAGTGAAAACTTCCTAGCATTCAAGCTGTAGGAGGAGTTATCTGGAATAGCTATATACCCATAATGGGACGGACAGACAGAAGGACGGAAAGACGGAAGGACAGAGGACGGACAGGGGTAAAACAATATGCCCCCCAACTTTCAGTTGCGGGGGCATAAAAATCCAAAATGATGACACAAGTCTTTCTTAGGAACTAATTATTCAACTATGGAACACGACAATTCACAATGGCAAAGATTTGTGTAAATAAACTAAATATGAGTGTCGAACCTACTACAAAATTGTTCGAGTCATAGGCTGTTTCAACATATCAAGAAATGAAATAAAATTTCCAAACAATTCACAGGGGCTCGTATCAAAGTTATTTCAGGGCTGGAAATATGAGCCAGTCGACTGATGTGCGTTCTAGATTGCGTATTAGACGAAACGCATACGAATCGACTGACATATTTCCGACCAAAAACATCTGTGCAATATTTAGAACAAGCCGCATGTTTAATATGCTTATTAATGAGTTAAACTTTTTTTCAGGAATACAAATCACCCCTCCTGGAAATATTATTCAGACTCCGGCTTGACCATGTTTTCCTTTATCTCTACTAATATACAAGTTTTGGCTTTCATAAAAGCTTCGGAGTGCTTCGCTGTATCATGCTTTCAATTAAGATGTGGTTGAATAAGTATGTGAGAGTACCATATGGTCTGAATGTTTCTGTTTATATATATATTATTTGGTTTCATAACATGGAATACATGTATTTTGACAAAATTCTTGAAGATCATTGTCAGTAATATATGCATTTTCAGTGTTGGTGTATATGCGTATATAGTCAGATGACCACTCAGAAACTTCATCCTAGTCCCTCCTTCTATGTATCAACATGAATTGAACACGACATTATAAAGCTAGGTAAACCAGTCACAGGCAAATGAGGAAGTTCAGTAATGGCCAAATTTGGCTCTGATTATAAAGTTCAATGTTTCAGGATAACACGTGTTTTAAGTTGACGAAAAGACATGTGAGAAAGTTAAATAAAACTATATTTTTGCCAAAGTTTTATTTTCAAGTATTGATTTTTACATCCCAAATAGGTTAAAAATAGAGATTTTTCCGACATTAGACAAAATCGTCCGGATTTCAACCAAATTAAGACCTGGGAAACATAGAGCACAGGCGTCGACATATTCAAGTCAGATATGTAAAGTTTCATAACAAACATTAGGCTAAAATTTCTTTGTTTATGACGCATGCGATCTATGTTTCCTCTCCAAAAAATCAATGTTAATTTACTCGTTTTCATCGAATTTTCGCGGAAAATCAAAATGAGTGTTATTTGTGACGTCATGAATAGAACTCAAAAACATAAATTTTCAACAAAAAGACGTTTTTCCAATTTAGTCATTATATTACCTATGATTCCTTGTGAAATTGGTCGTCAATAAATCCTAATTTCAAATTTCAGCTAGAATTAAGGGCAATTTTAGGGCCTTATCGAACCTACTCCTTTATTCATTGATCGGGTATCGGATCGGATCTTGAATACCCATACTGTAATTATGTCGTATTTAATATCTTCTCCTGTCCGGGATACTTTCCCAATTTTATATCTCATTCTAGCAAATAGGATTTTTCCCACATCATAAGGCAACCAATGGAACCGATATTTGTTACGTAATAATTTCAAGATGGTGTGAATATCGTATGAAACTAATAACTTCGCACCGTGATGCGAAGCAATAAATGTCGCCTGTGCAACTGAGAAGCAAATATACGAATTTTAGTCTGATTTCGCCCGGTCGAAGATCGAAATCACGACCCAGCATTTAAGTCGAGCACAATACCATGTAACAGAGGTTTCAGACAATTAATCAATTTGACTGTGGAATTTCTTATTTCTAATGACAGTAGTAAATCTGCTACGTTTTAGTTACTATATGTAGTTTTCATAAAGGATCGATCAGAAGCAAAAGTCACTTGAATGGTCAAAGAATAAAAACAAATAAACATCTAGCTGCAGAACTTTAAAATTTATGAAAAATGTCAATGTCTTTTAATCAGACAACATTTGTTCTGAAATAATTTAAAGGCTTTTGATGCGAAATCAACCACAGTGTAGCTAATTCAAAATTGAGCGTTTATTTTCGTTATTTTTCAGAATAGACAAAAGTGCGACTTTCTAATTTTCAAATTGTATAACACAAATTTACATGTCATGATATCTTAAACATACCATTATTGAGGATATATTGCAGAAATTGGCTCCATGATGTAGTACTGTCCATATTTATCTTCGTCTTGACCATATGGTGATACAGTGAAGTAACAATGTCCTTTGGATTTCGATGAAGTAAAATGAACTTGGATTTCTTTTCAACGGCTTGTTTTGGAAGACATACTGGTGTAAAGTGAGTGTTGAATATTCTGGGACGTGGGATATCTTTGTATTCCTCTGGCAGGTGAAATTCCACCATACATGATTCTTTAGCTTTTGAGTGGTATTCAGCTTTACCTTTTATTATCATCTGACACATCTCCCAAACCCAATGTGTACCTGAGTATATACATCTTTAAGAATAAATTATTAAACAAATAAAGAATTTTGTAAATCGGCTAATTTAAAAAAAAAAGTGATATTCTTAATAATTAAAAGAAAATGTTTTATACGAGTAAATTTTATTACAAGATTAACTCACACACAAATAAAAGTTTTTTAAAAAACTTTTTACTTAATTTTGAGAGTGCAGCATTTAACTTAACAATACAAAATGCATAATACTACATTGTATATATAAAAAAAATGCAAACATTTTATGACATCAATGTGTAGAACATTTGATAATTAACCTATTCATATCTATACATATATCTGTAATCGTATCATTTCAGGTTTTTCTTTTCTTTTCCTGTCCTTTAGACAGATTTACGCTTGGTTCTTCTAACGTAAGTAAGTTCAGGCCTTGCAGTCATAAAACTTTCGAGCACGATTTTCGTACTCAGACTCAGAAATCAACCAATCAAAATCTTTTTGTTGTTTTGAGCACAAATTTTGTACTCCGAGTACTGAAAAAAGTTTTATGGCCGAGAGCCCTGCTCTCATACTGTGAAGTCGCTGATAACTTCCCCTCACAGACTATGATGTCGATGATAAATTCTGCTCACGTACTCCGTAGCCGTGATACGATAATGAAGCATCCACCATGATCGACTGAGCAGGGAGCTATAGTTACAGATAATCACGATAATATAGAACATGTATATAAATAATGAAAACCGACATAGAGCAATAAAGTAACATACCACATTTTGGATAAGCACAAATAAATATATCGTCATCATAACACTCCATTTCTTTAAACGACGGAATAAGAATTCTTGGATCTGGAATAACCCCTAACCTTTGGAAGGAGAGTCTTATCTCTTGTTCTTCAACAATAAGGACTTCAGTATCAGCATTCCCAGGTTGTTTGATGCTTACGACAATGTCTTTTTCTGTAATCGGTCCTGAGGAAAAAATATAATGTTTTTTTTATCATTTCTATTCTTAATTTTTACTTTCTTCAAACTTTTCTTTAACTATTAAAGTTAATAGTTTCATATATCTGTATCGTTCTACCTTATGACATTGTTTAATTCTCATTTAGTATTTTACGATTTGTCAACACTCACTATAATAAACTAATCTATACGCATTTTGACCCCCCCCCCCCCCCCCCCCCCCACCCCAAAGTTGAAAATACCTTTTATTCAAGTAAAGAAAAAGGGAATAAAGCTAAGTCCTAAATAAAAATACCTCGATACGGAAGTTTATAAGAATTAAATTATCTCAGGTGCATGAACCCTCGGTGAACCACCATGCATGGTTAGCGATTATCTATTGTGTACACAATATATTTGTACTAAAAATACGACTTTGCAATCCGACCTACCAAATTCATACTTTCCTTTCTGTGGCTTCTCCATTTTCTGTGCGAGACAGTTTCAACATGTGCACATAATAAACATGATAAATATAAAAATGAACGATCACATGACTTGTACACAAGTGTGAATATCTATGTACATACCATAAATACTCACATGATCTATATTTAATAAATATTAGTCGATGGTGTTTAACCCGCGTAAATTCAAAATCATAAATTAGATAAATAAATGTGAAGTTCAACTATGACACGTGAAAAAGATGTGTCAATGTTAGAATGTTTACTCAATTCAATAAAAAAAAGTTGTCTCAGATAAAATTAGTTATATGAAAAATCATACATACAGCAGAATTACATGATGCGCGTAGAGGAACACTTTCGGCCACAACTTGCATGGCGACCTAATCTGTACTTTTAAATTTTGAGCCACAAATCCTTGAACTAAGAATACACAAACATGATGGCATTGTTTTAACTAAATAAGTATGAGTTTCTTCAGTTTTGAATTTTTATGAAACAACAAGGAGGATCTTTTGGCAGAAATTTTCAAAAATGATATATTTGAACTGCACACTAATATTACCACATTTTAAATATACTTAATCAGATCATAACCTGCAATCATATCCTATCAACATTTTCATAGATACAATTCGAATGATTGCGGTTTTTCTTTTTGTTCATGGTATTGGTTTTTTTTCGACTTACGGTTTTTGAGTGTCTTCTTTATATTTTCTACCTCTTTTTTCACGAAGGATGTTCTATTTAGATTTGGTAAGTAAAAAAAAACAGTTCTATTTCTAATAAGCTGATATATTTCCCAAATTTAAATGCTAATCAAAGTTTAAATAAACATTATATGGTGGTAAAGTCTTGTTTAGTTTATCATTAACTGAAAATTCTTCTGTTCGTTCTTATTAATCTATATTGCGACCGATTTAGTGAAATGTCAATAGACATGGAATAAAAATATAGGAAACTAGAGAAAACTGACATGTCAACAAGGGCCCCGCTTTCCGATTTTTATGTGAGGCAAAGAGATTGGTGCATACAAAGCAAATTCTCATAAATTTTGACACCAGCAATTAATTTAGGTTGTGTTCTCGATTATTATATGTTTTGTTAAAATCCAAGCACTATGTATTTTTGTGTGCTTTATGGTAAATGTTGGGCAATCGATAATTTTGACACAGAGAGTCATTTCGTAATAGCAACTGATACCTTTTTCATTTACATCCTAGCAAAAAATGTTATTCTCAGAGTTTATCATTTTTTTTAACAAAAACTAAGTTTTTAACACAATTTTGACTCGAGGAAACAATTTGAAATGCATATTATGCCTGTATTATATATCAATTTTTGATGACATCCTACCACAAGAAGATGTTTCTCAAAATTTGTGATTTTTTAACAAAAAGTAAGTTTTGACGTTTTTTCTACCACTTTGAAATAACTTGATACACCTATATGTCAGTTTTTGTTAAAATCCTGTAATAGGAAGACATTTCTCAAAATTTGTGATTTTTTAACAATAACGAAGTTTTATTCCCCAAATTAATGAGCCAAATTCCATCAAAATATAATATGCACATTTACATATGCATGACAACTGTGCAAAATTTCATTTGCCTCCTACCTTTATTTTTGGAGATTTTGCGCTTACAAACATTGTTGACGGACAGAGAGACGGACGGACAGACGGTCAAAGTGAAAACTAGAGCTCCCGCATCCTCGACGCGGAACCCTTATAACACTTTAGATATGATCAACGCATCGGGTACTACTATTGAAACAGGAACTGCTTATCTTTGGGGATCACATGAGTTCACCCTTGCTTGATGGTGGTGGTCATCTTGCTCGTTCTTTAGTTTACTGTGTAGTATTTGGTGGACAGTTGTTATCTCTTTTTTCTTTTGGTTCGGTTCAACATGAAACTATTATCAACTTATAAAACGATATCTTAATCATTTTCTTAAACTTTGTTATTCATACCAATAGCATTTATGATTTCAATTTTCCCATTATAGACTTACTATTTCTGTGTAGCAACATTTCAGCAGCACTTGCATATGTAATATATATATCTAGTATTGCCAAGACTTTAGTTTTCTATGTAGTGTTTTTGGGTTCCTATTTATCTGTTCGTATTTTTTTCTATGACCATGATGATGCCTGTCTTTATTCGACTTACAGTTTCATTACACCTTGTGTATTTTCTCCCTTTTTATTGGAAGTATACTTCATATAAAGTTGTAGTAAAGTTGGTTCATAACGCCTCTATCTTATTCATGGAAGAATAGCTGAGTATTTCCATGTATTGAATTACGAAGGTAGTAATGTCTAAAGTCAAAGATGTGTTATATGTCGTTGGGTTGCTGTATCATTGGACGTTTACCCAACATCTTTTTTATCCACACTAATAGTAAGACACTAAAAAGAACACAAATAGATCCTCAATCATTATTTTTTCAACAAAGTGGATTAAGAAACAGACTTTTAATGAAAAATTAATAGGAAATAGCGCAGTAGAAAACGTCTTTTATAATTCGTATGTATAGTTTACATCTACTCCATTCAGTTTTGTCTTCAACAGAGCTTCAAATTGTTCATTCTGTGCAACTGTAAAATTGTTCTTCCAATCACCAACAACACCTAAAACGAGCAACCATAGATAGTTTTATTACGGGTTAGATGATGTATATTATGGCAAGCCGTTCTCGTCAAAACTATGTTTAAACCATTTTTTCGAAAAAATTACACACTGAGAATTTAAAAAAATCACACTGAGATTTAAGAACCTTAAATAACACACTGAGAAATTGAAATTACACACTGAGAAATCGAAATTACACACTGAGGTTTTATAATAACACACTGAGATTTAAAAATATGAAAAACACACTCTGAGAATTTAAAATTACATACTGAGATTTTAAAAAGACACACTGAGATGAAATAAATTGAAAAACACACACTGAGAATTGTTAATTACACAATGAGATTTCAAAAATACACACTGAGATTAATATGCAAATTACTAATGAATATTCATGAGATAAATAATTCAACAGATTAATATCTTGGTCTCCCCATGGAAGTAATATTTAAAAGGTTTTGAATATTACTTCCATGCTACAACCAACATTCGTAATAAATTTAAAGACTTAACAATTTTTTTTGCTCACTCGTATTCATAAGTTTTTTTGCCTATAATTCAGATTATTACTAACAGTATATCGGAATTTTTGCTTAAAACTTTTAAGCATGGTCCCTTTTCAAAAGTCTTTCAACTGTTACCCTGATTTCGCAAGGTAATTTTTTATATTTTTGTTACGTATATATGCTATAATAGGCACTTGGGGGAAAATCACTGCATTGTTTGTATTTTTGCAGATTGTTCCAATGTTTTCTTATAATTTTAATAAAGTTTTTCACCATTTGGTTATATTTTGTAATGAGAGTGAGTGGTTATTTTTCTTGTTCTATTGGTCTTTAATAACGTAGTTTTTCTATACGTTGTATTTTTAATGTTTTTTATAAAACATTTAGCGCCAAATTGAATGACTAATGAGTTTTGTCCCCTTGTTGTTTTAAGCTTGTAATAGATTCATATTAATTATGCTAATTAGATATGTGCGCATAAAAAGTGCGCACAAATCTCAGTGTGTAATTTCAAATTCTCAGTGTGTGTTTTTCAGTTTATTTCATCTCAGTGTGTCTTTTGGAAATCTCATTATGTAATTTTCAATTCTCAGTATGTGTTTTTCATTTTTTGTAATCTCAGTGCGTTTTTATGAAATCTCAGAGTGTAAATTTTAATTCTCAGTGTGTGTTTTTAGGTTTTTTAATCTCAGTGTGTTTTTTTTTTAATTCTCAGTGTGTAAATATTTCGAAAAATGGTTTAAACATAGTTTTGACGAGAACGGCTTGCCATAGTAAATTGGCTTTATACAATATATTAAAAATGACGAAGATCAACTGTATCCAGAGTCATGCAAGAAAGATTGTACACACATTTGAGAGAGTTTATGAATCATTTTAACACTTATAATACAAAAACGTTTTACTGCCAATCAAAATCCAATTTTGTTATTGAAAGTCTCAAAGAATTATTAGTTATGGCAGATGGTAAGGAGGAATACAAGACTGCTTTTAACAAACTTAACCAGTTCAAGACTGAAATGTGCATATGCTAATGTTTTATAAACATGCTTCACCGAATTTTGTAAATAGCAGTTGAATTAAAAAAAAACACATATCAATATATGGTAAAATGAATTTAATAAACAATGATTTTGAAGGCAATCTTACTTCACATGCACACATGGATTCAAAGATATTTTATTTCAAGTTAGGAATGCGAGTAATTAATAATCGACTCAAGTCAAACTTGGGCATTGGTTTAAGGATAAAAAATTTAACATTTCAATCAAATTGGATCTGGTATTGTATTTTAATGAGACAAATCAGACATAGATTTAGGGGACAAACACTCAGGACATATACGAAATACAATTTAAAAAGAACATTGAAAAATACAGTCACTTAAAGAATAGGCAACTGCTTTAACGAATGTGTGTTTGAACCCAGCTTTTAAGTAGTCACATTGATGAGTTGATTGGTTCACAAAAACATAGTTCTTTGCCAATAGATACAAAGGTGGGCATGTATACCAAGCTTAATTGTCTAAGGCGTCTAGTCAAACCTTTTCTGTACAACTTGGACACCTGATCAGAGTTAACCAACTCAGTTCCACTCTCTCTTAGCTTTTCCATGTCTCGCATTTTTTCCAAACTACATTTCTCTTGTATTTCTTTTAAAAAAGTTTCTTCACGTGGATAACCTAGGAAATCGGCGAGTTTGAACAAACTCGCGAGTGTATTCTGTAAATTCATAAACACATATAGATTATTTATTAATAAAGCACCTTTGAACTGTAATTTTCAAAAGTACATTTGAAATCCAAATCCAAATTTGGGAAGCCATATACAAATGTATGGAAAACATTTATTGGCCTCAAAACCAAACTAGTTTACTGAAAACGTTAATGAGTTAACCTTTAGTTTTGGGAAATTATTGTAAACAAGTGAAAATATTAACGCGTCTACACACTGCATGCATTTACATGCATTACAATAAACCACATTTGAGGTCCATGTAAAGCTTTGTCATTTATATTAATCATGTGAGCAGAGAATGTCATGTATTTTCTAGTATAAGTTTTGAATTTGTATTTCAGTAAGAGACATTGTGCATACAAATAAATGTTAACAAGTTCTTTATTACAATTTATTCATTTCCGTAACTTCCATTCGTTTGATGTGGTTGTGCTTTTGATTTTGCCATTTGATAAGGGACTTTCCATTTTGAATTTTACTTGGAGATCGTTATTTTTGTTAGTTTACTTTTTTCTAGGACTAAAATGTATCAATTCCCCGAGGGTATCACCAGCCCAGTAGTCAGCACTTCGGTGTTGACATGAATATCAATTATATTATGGTCATTTTTTTAAATTTTGAAAAACTAAGGATTTTCTTATCCCAGGAATAGATTACCTTAGCCGTATTTGGCACAACTTTTTGGAATTTTGGTTCCTCAATGCTCTTCACCTTTGTACTTGTTTGGCTTATAACTATTTTGATCTGAGCGTCACTGATGAGTCTTATGTAGACGAAACGCGCGTCTGGCGTATTAAATTATAATCCTGGTACCTTTGATAACTAATTGGACCATATCAGCAATATATTTATATAAAATAAAACAAATGATTGATAAGTCTGATGTTGCTCACACGACAATAGAAATCTGTTATGCAAAAACAGTAATTTTCTAGGCAAAATTGTTTTTGTAAAATTAGAGCAGTTGACGAAAAATACATAGAGATGGTAATAGATGGCACGTTTAATCACTGATTTTGTCATTATGACGTCATTATTGCATATTTTGAATATGAAAATCATAATGTTGACTATTTTTGGGTAGCTTTTGTGTCATTTAACATTTTGACCACCATAATTTTAACATTATTTATAAAAAGAAGATTTCAGACGTACTGACCTTTACAACATTTTTACATTATTTATAAAAAGAAGATTTTGCTCCAAGGGCGTGGCTAAAAGGAAAATGCAATTAAACATAAGATTTTGGAAAAAGTCGAGTAACACCTTACTTTATAGCCTTCTACATTGTTCAATCAAGCAACGAACAAACAGGAACAATGTGTGGTTCATTTTTATTCAAGAAGTCTAAATGACTTAATTTGTTTTATGTCTATATTATATATTATTATATATACTATGTATGTAGTTATTTATTAATAGTTTACATGTCTTTAGCTCTATGAGTTTTTCTTATGTAGGTAATCATCTAAATTTACCTGTTTAATGTCTTCATATTTCAATACTAGGCATGGGTTGTCACTTGATGACAAGAAATCAGACCATTGTTTTCGGTAAAAGAACCAATTGGAACTCACATTCCGATCTGCCAATGAAAAGTTCATAAATTTGCTACTGTTTTAATACAATATCTGAATATCATAGTTCACACGGTAAATCTTAGGATGATGATAAACAATATCGAAAAGATTTCTAAATGAACTTTTTGTGGCTATATTATGATATTTTTTACACAAACAACACTATCATTGTTGTTATAAATCCATTCCCGTCATTTCAGACGTACTGACCTTTAAAGAAATCAATTAAGCATAGTAAAAGAAAGGCGAAAGATACCAAAGGCAACATCAAATAGACAGTCGTAACTCGAGAAGATATGATGTGCTTAATCTAAAATCTCATAACTTACCATTTGTATATACACTTTTAAGGAAGTCTGACCATTGTAGTGAGAATTGAGGGAATAGTTTCCAGTGGTGATACTGAGAAGTAAGAATATCTTTCGGATTTCGTTCAATGATTATCATTTTACACTTTTTCTCAAACGCTTGTTTCGGTAAACATTTTGGTGTAAAATGAGAGTTGAATATTCTTGGCCTCTGTAAATCACTGTATTCATCCGGCAAATGGAATTCCAACATACAACATTCTTTAGCTTTTGAATAGTATTCAGTCTTGCCGTTCACTATCATCTGTACCATTTCCCATACCCAATGAGTTCCTATCAATATAAATATACAGATAAAAGTCCCTTAGATACATCTGAAGGCGAGTACACATGACACATGTATAATATCTTAATAAGTGTTGAATGATTAAGATCCAAGAGTTGTCATGTGCACATTTTTTGGTTTAATTGATCAACCTAGTGTTTCGTTTTTGTCTTTTTTCTCAGTTCGATACGAAATGTGGAAAGCTTAGACGGACGGGCAGACAGGACACACTAACCTTTTTTCGAATTTGCGGTTAATCGAATAACTTAACGAAAAAATACTCGACTTTCAGCTTGAAAAATTAGTAAGAGTTCTTACCACATTTCATATAAGCACAAATGAAGATGTCATCATCGAAGACGTCCATTGTTTGAATTTGTGGTATCATAATTCTTGGATCAGGTAGTATGCCATTCTTTCTGAAGTTTATTCCTGTTTCAAATTCGTCTACAACTAAATTTTCCACTTTCATATCTTCTGATAAAGTAACTGTTACTACTTCATCCTCATCAGTAATTGGTCCTGTAAACATTTGAAGACAGCATTGAAAAACCTGGACAAAACAGTTATGTCAAATAGTATAATAACAATTTCCAAACGGAGTTTGTTTATGGTATCCAAGCCCACCGTCATTTTACATCAAATGTATGAAAATGTAGAAGTCTTTTCGAATAATTCTCAAGAAAATATATCAATGGGGTTCAAAATTTATATTGTAAATATACACAATTAAAGCAGTTATTCATAGATAAATAAAAAAATATATTGTACCCTTTCATCCAATCACAGTGCTCCTAAGTTGACTTCCTTCACTGTCTTGGATACACAAAAGGCCAAACTAAAGCCGGGAAAATGTAATACTACCTTTTCCCCTTTATATAGTCACGGCGATTTAGAAACATCAGTAAAGCACTCTTTAAGAAATGTAGGTTATCAGTTGTAAACTTAGCAGACGATTTTATTTCGTTTAATTGTCGGTAAATTATGCACATAAATCAATCGATCGGCTTCATTTAAAAAAAAAGAAGGAAAAAAAATGAAGTCCCAAAACGCATAGCATAGATCTATATATACGTTCATATAAAAACCAGCTCAATGTATTTATATCTAAATGTGAAATAGGTCATGCACAAACAAATGTATCAAAATCAATAATATTACACTTCTGAATTGAAGAAACAAATGTTAGAATGTAGATTGGCATGGTCAGTGGGTTTCATAGAGTTATTGTTCTTTGCATAGTTTCTTGCATATTATGTTCCGGATACTGTTTTGTAATTAGATTTTAGAACTAGAATAGAAATTTGATGAGAAACGTTTGTTATTGTATGTGCCTCTTAGCCTACCAAGAAAGATGTGAGCAAGCTTCCCTACATGGTGGAGGAACCCTAATTACTTTATTACAACATCGTTATAATAGTATATGAACACGAAGTAAGATTTTCCTACATAAACATTGAAAATAAAATTCGAAAAAAGTAGAGGAAAACTCACCAAAATGATACTTTCCTTTAGCTATCATTTTCCACTTGTAAAAATAAGGATACAAAATATTAATCAATTTGCTGTCATCCACAGTCTACCATGACAACCAGGGTCTTTAACAGCAGTGATGTATGCTGGGTAATTGTACTGCTTCAATTAAAATGAAATTAAACTAACCTCAAATTGTGGGGTAAAATTTAGAACTTGGTCATTAACATTTGACTTGATAATGAAAATAATAAAATCGATCCGACACTTTTTCCTTTTATTTGAATGAATATTGCGCTCTATGATGCTAATTGTTTATAAGGGGAGCAAAAGTTAATTGGGTTTGTCAATTTTCTAACATGATTGAATAACAATTCAACCATGGAAAATAATATTCATTGACAAATATAATTGCTTCCGGTGTATTGATTTGTATCAAACGACAACAAGGAAGTAAGTTTGACTATTAACAATCATTATTACTGATCAGACTTATGTTTTTTGACTAAGCATCTTCTCTTTCTTATTTATATAGAATAAGTTGACAAGAGAGAACATGGAACGGTTTTTTGATTATCTGAGAACAAAGTACTTTATAGATTATGACGATGATGAAATCAAAGATATCTGTAAAGCTATGGATATATTTATGAAAAAACTTCGTGATATTTTCAATGAATTAAGTGAGGTACTAAGCATTGCATGTTTAGTGCCGTGTGGAAGTATGGAAGAAAAAACTACAGTATGGGGAGAAGAAAGCACAACAGTTGAATTTGACCCTTCTTGTGCTATCAACACAATTGAATTTGACTGTTTGGCAGTTCTCAAACCAATTGTATCAGATATCGCAGTACAGTCATCTTGTCCTGGATATAAAAAAATAATATCAAAAACGCTGTCGAACCTTTTGTACGAAAAAACACTTATAGAACAAAGTGAATCGTATAAAAAAGCTTTTACAGATCACACAAACGATGTGATGGACACCTTAAAGTCTCTCTTACTTTCCTCTGATACCGCCGATTCCGGGGCCTCTGAATGTGCTTCTGAAAAGAAACCAATTTCATTTACAACGTTTGTTTCACAACAAATTGAGAAAAAGATTAAAACTGGGGAAAACGTGTCACATTATAAAGATCTGTTAAGACTACATAAGTTTGTAAGTGGAACTAGCAAAGCTGTTTTAAGTGAATTTACTGCAAACATCGATTTGGCAATAGAAGCTATGTGTCAGTCATGTGAAACAGAAAGTAATATTGAGGGAGAAATACTTGTATACGAACTTGATATGCCCACTGGTACTTTGCAGTATGGAAGATGTCTACCAGGATGTCAGCTTGCATTAGTTTGGAAAACCAAAAACAAACCGTCCGTTGATAAGATGATATACGCCGATTTCGTTCCAGCTTTCCAAATTTCAGAACAAACATCTAGTGAAGAGGATGACTCTACCAAGTATCTTGTCGCTAAAGGTTGTGGTAATTCGTTCTGTGATGCTGGATGCTGGAGATTGTCTCATTGTAGTTCAGAGTGTAAAGCTATCCAGACCACTTCGCAATGTCATAGGGATGTATACAAATTTATGAAAATTTTCAATCATAGCAAATTATCAAGACGGGTAGACAATGCACTGAAATCATATCACATTAAAACGGCTCTTTTAAGTCACACTAAACACTGCAAGGGCACATCACACAATATAACAGATTGCCTGTGTAAGACTTTAGATATAATTAACAGTTACGTTGAAAATGGAATGGTACCTCACTGGAAAGATCAAAATTATACATTGGAGCTGAAACAAGACTCTTGCCATAGATTTGTCCCTACACTTTTACAGTTCATATTCAACCAAACTGTGAAGCATTCACCAGTACGACTGTATTTAACCATATGTTGTGAATGGAATAGAGGCAAAGAAATGTACTTTTATAAATGTGGATCAAAGCTTTCAGATCTTGTTTGTCAAATTATTGAAGGAAAAGACTGTTACAGTAACCTTGAAAGTGAAGTTGAAAACACTTTAATTCAAGCTGCAGATTTGCCACCATTACTTCATCAATATAACCTCAGATACTCATTAGTCGTTGAAGATAAAGAAATCACACCTGACACAATTATTTATCAACGATGAGTAAACACGTGATTTTTGAAATTTCATTCAAATAGTAAATCACACTAACTCAGCATCCGTTTTATTTGATTTTTCCTACCAACTTTTTAATCGAGCACCATTGATGAGTCTCATGTAGATGGAACGCGCGTCTGGCGTCCAACATTATAAGCCTGATATATTTGATGAGTTTTTATATCAGAGTGGTGAAACCAAAACCAAAGGATTTTATTATTCTCAACAAAGAATTGTATTAAATATATAAACATGTTACATACTAAGTTAATGAAACATATTTAGGGATACACCATCTGGATCTAGTTATTCCCTAAACTCAGAACATATTATGATACATGTCTCTATAGATAATTGTTTTATTGATTTGTCACTGGAAAAGAATGATTTTTTATTTCATATATTGCTAAATTATATAGTTAAACATCTACAATGTTTTATGTTTATGTTTATGTTTATTTCATTTTTTAATTGATCTTGATATTGAAAAACTATGTGTATTGACATGTTAGAATAGAGGTACTGAAGTAATCATTTAATTTATATAAAAAGATAAAGTTGTTATTTGTACTTGTACTTGTAATCCATAAAAGGAGATATGTTATCTTAAGTACATAAAACGTAACAAAGTCAAAGATGACATTTGAATCACGTGATAGAAACATCACAATGATACCAGTTTCAAGGGACCTTATGCAACGCAATAATATTACACATTTCAAATGGGGCATTTTCAAGGATGATTCACCGATCTTATCTTTAATGTAACCACATTGAAGAAAATTTTATTTTGCGCATATAAATCAGTTTAGATTTCACGATAATGTCTATGTGACCATTTGCAAAACTATCAGATTTTATGGTAAGTCAGGCAGAATGAAATGGTCTTCGATTCTGAATTGGCGCTAAACATTAAAACATTTCCAAAAGTATCACAAAATCAGACCAAATTTTGAATGCATAGAATATAAAGGAAATACTTTTGTTCTAAATTCTTTTCACGATTCATCATTTAAAGCTAGTAGTTTAACTATGTATAAATTACTCCACTTTCTGAGATTATGCAATTAAGATCGCAAATAGATATAAGACTTACAAAAACATTACTACACATGCCAGCTTGATCATCTTGTGTATTAATATTTCGTTTCTGTGGACATTCAGACAAATATAAAGAACTAACCAACAGAAACAAGAAAAATTCTATCAAACATAATTATGTTCTCCACAAACATACTGTAGGAACTGTTTTTTCGGTAATATATCTCATGATTACTCCACTTTCTGATTTTTATGGAACAGTCATACAAACAATATCAAAATAATTGTAAACACTACCTTGGGTTCTAATTTATTACAACTCAGGCTTATTACCCGATCTATTATATTACATACAAAACTGTACAAAAAATTGTTGCAGTACTATCATCAATACCAAAGATCTAGTCAATCTCACACATAAACATTTAGATACGTACAAACTTCTAAAGATTATTACAAATATACTTTATTATATCATGCCCTACACTAATATCCATCAACCTTTTCATAAATGAACTTGATTGTTTTCCGCTTATGGTTTTTGAGTGCCTCTTTTGTATATTCGACCTCGTTTCAAACGAAGGTTGTTCTAGGTTGGTTCCCTCCGTAAAATATTCGGTATGCCTCCGGAATATTCAAATATTGTCAAACTTCTCAATAACGGACGGGTACTGTTTTGTTTTATTGCTATTTATCTGTTCGTATTTTTCTTTTAATCATGATGATGCCTGTTTTCTTCGACTTACAGTTTAATTACACCAATATCTTCTTTTTTTGGAAGTACATTTAATATAAAGTCATAGTTAAGTTGGCCCAAGTGCCTCTATCTAATATCTAAAAGAACAGCTGAGAATAACCATGCATTGAAGTACAGCGGTAATGTATAAAGTCCAAGAGTTTTCTAATTCGTTGGGTGCTGTCTCATTTATGTATTCTTTACATCTCTTGCATCAACACTGATGGAACAACACAAAAAAGAACACAAATAGATCCTTAATCATCATTACGTCCAACAAAGTCGATTTAGAAATAAACTTTTAATGAAAAACTAATAGGACACAAAGTAGTAGAAAATGTCTTTTATAATTCGTATGTAAAGTTAACATCTACTCCATTTAATTTTTTCTTCAACAGATCGTCAAATTGTTCATTCTGTGCAACTGTAAAATTGTTCTTCCAATCTCCAACAACACCTAAAACAAGCAATCATAGATAGTTTTATTACTGATAAGATGATGTATATTGGCTTTATACAATATATTCAACTTGATGATCAGCTGTATCCGGAGTCATGTTAGAAAGATTGTAAAGAAATTTGGTAGAGCTTATGAATATAAATTCATAGGTCGTATTAACACTTATGGTTCAAAATCTTT